AGTGGTAAATGAAGGTTGTTTGTTACGCGCACCAGATTTTTTTATATAGATTGTCATACTTGTATGGATTTAGAAATTTTCCTCTCAGATTTTAGTAGGCATGGCATTCAATAATGATATGTTAGGTGTGTTTCTTTTTTATTACATTTATCACATTTATATGAAAATTTTAACCCCAATGCGCTGCAGGTATAATTCTCATAGCTTATGATTTGTTAATAGTCTAGACAAAATTTTAATTATATCCTAGTTTAATCCGAAGAACCGTGGCTTGTTTAGAATTTGTGGTATATGGGGCTTATTAAATCTGCCAATGGGAGACTCGTGATAGTGAAGGGACCATTTGTTTACCATTTTTTTCATTCATCATCGGAAATTGAACTGTGTATGACAGTTTGATGCCTGTAACATGAAATAATTTAACGGAGGTTTAAAGAAGGCAGTCTACCTCTTCATTTTCCGGTATTTCATGTGCGCTTTGACCCACATTAATATTATTTGTTTTTTAATGTTTATCAAAATTTAATTATCTGATGAGAATTAATTTCTATTTTAAACGTTGTAAGAACACTTCCTGAATAAAATGACGTTAGTCTACCAGCTTATGCATGGAATTAGAGCGGCAATCCCGCAAAACTTCGCGTATTTACTCATTTCTGAAAAGCAAAATAACTTTAAATTATCATAAAAATTAAATTATATTATTTCTAAAAAAAGCTCACCGACCGCGGGATTCGAATCATATATTTCTTTGTATTTACAATTTCTTTCCTACCTAAAAAAGTTCCATACTAAAACGTAGCTCACTTATAAATTTTATTATTGCATTTATATTTATTTTGAGTTTCACCCTTTTATATTATATTTTATATATATATTGTTTTTAACTGGATGGAAAAATTATAAAACAACTAAAGTGTCATTTTAATTCTATATACTAGTGTATGCCCAGTGGTCGAAATTCGACCATAGCCATTAAAAATTTGAGGAAAATATATAATTAAATAAAAAATAAAATAAATAAATAAAGAGTAAATCACGATTCAAAAATCCTCATTTCTTAATACAAACAAAATTTCAATTTCAATTAAAAATCGACCTTAAGTCATTTAAAAGTAATACAAAATATATTCATTCAAAAATATTTAATTTTCATTTTAATTTATGTGTGTTATTATCACAATAAATTAATGTTATGATTAAGCAAGTAAAAAATTAATTTAAATTCACTTTAAATCGATTTTTATTCAGAACTTCTACTTCTGCCACATATAATTGTCCATGTGAAATTACTGGACGTCACAATAATATACACATTTTTCCAAAACTTTATCCTGCAATTTGATTATGGCCATACCAAATGCATCTATAAAAATGTTCTTTGAAAGTCGAATGTAAGTATAGTGTCAGAAAATGTTAAATTAATTCTTGGAATTAAAATTCTTTAATTTAAAGTAGCCCTCGTTAATACTTCAGTCTCATTCCTGTTCCATTAACTAATGCTTATGCAGTATTTAATTTAACAATGAGTATAACTATAGAATATATTTTTAAATTTAATTTATTAGGTGGTATCATTCCAATAACATTACATGATATCATCTCTTCAAATAATAGACCCAATTACCTCAGTAAATGAAAAGTTTTTGATTTATCAAAAAACGAAAAAAAAATAAATGAAATTTGGAAGGGAAGGAAAAAGTACTAAATGTTTAAAATAATGTATCTGCAACAAATAGTCCAATTTCGATGATTTTATTTTTTATTTTGTAGGGAATATTGGAACCTTTCAAAAAACTATTGGTATTATCAGTAAAAATTGTGTACTTTTTGAGTTATTCGTAAATAAAATACTGAATTCATCATAAAAATGTATGCAGCTTGTTTTCGGGAAAGTATGTTATATACATAAATTATAAAGGTTTCAAGGGGAAGACTTTAGCCAAGTTTCATTGAAATTGTTGAAGCCTTATTGGCACTACAGTCTAAAGCGAATCACGTTTTTCGGCCTCCATTTCGAAAGGAAAGGCCCGATGATAATAAAACGCATACAAAAAAACTTCTAAATATTATTGCGACGTTGTGTCAAAATTTAAAAGAAATCGGTGAAGAACTTTCGGGGATAAGCTGTTTGAACAAACTACCATTTATATTTTTATTTATTGATAACACTAAAGCTCGTCAATATCTATTAAACAGAAAAAGAAGGAAGAAAATCGTTGAATAATAGAGGAGTAAAAGGGGCTGAACCGATTTGTGTTTGCCTATTTATATAATGATTATTACATTATATATATTTACAAATTTTGTTCCATCGACCTTCGATTATTATATTTTAACATAATTATTTTATTAGGAATAAGGTCACTTATTAATTATTCCATAAACTACTAAATGTTCATTGCTTCTGTGTTTATTCGACATTTTGATCCTGGTTTTTTATAAGTTAACAGTGGGGTCCACTTCAAAGCTAGAACAACATATATAATGATAAATATAACAGCATCAAAAACATATCTCTATCAACAACCAAAACAACTTGTATAACAACTCTTGGCTATAAATTAAGGTATCAAAATTAACTAACAATAAATACATATATCATCGAACTAAAATTGTTAAAAACTTAAATAAATATGAACTACTTAAAATATATATACACTAGTCATCTTATAAAAATTCAACTATAGTTCCCATTCTCTAATTTTATTCTCACCTTCACCAAATAAACACAACATAAACATATAACCAGCCCAAAAATCAAACAAAATCCCTTATCTAAATTATACAAATTTTAAAATGTTGCTATATGCACAATTCAATTTCACCAAATCATTCTGGGTATTTATTATGTTTTTGGTCCTTTCAATGTGCATCATCTCTAGAATCTAGAAATTACTAGACATACAAGATACTAGTACACATGGAAAAAAATCGGCAAAACGGTTGATTCTAGAGGTAATGCACATTGAAAGGACCAAAAACCTAATAAATACCCAGAATGATTTGGTGAAATTGAATTGTGCGTATAGCAAAAACCCAGGATCAAAATGTCAAATAAACACAGAAGCAATGAACATTTAGTAGTTTATTGAATAATTAATAAGTGACCTTATTCCCAATAAAATAATTATGTTAAAAAAAATATATATATATATATATATATATATAAATAAATGTAGGAAACTTACAATTATTTGTTTAGTATACATAGATTCATGTGTACCAAAACCAGTATTCAGTCAAAAACAAAATTAAAAAAAAAAAGAAAAATTATAAAATTAACTTATTAACATTTATTTTATCTATGTAACATTTAAATAGAATATAAATTAGATCATGGATATGGCGCAAATAACAGAGAAAGGACATACCTTGGGTTCAGAATAAATCTGCAACTGATAGTTTCCAAATGTTCTGAATCCAGAACAACCGCACTGAGTCAGCTACAGAGGGTAAATGCACTGACCAAGCCACAAGTCAGATAGTGAAGGCAGGACTTGCTTCTACCTGTTTAAGTGGTGATCGCCCAACGAGAAGGCATATATCCTAGCCACCCTGGGGACCCAAATCACTACCGGGTAGGCATATATCCCATCCGTAGTCAAAGGGTTAACTGTTAATAACATTTTATCAATAAGATATAATTAATTTAAATACACAATCTTTAGCGGGAGCTGTGTATTTAGTGAATTGAAATATAACTGAATCTTATTGAAATAAATATAACCTTTTCACTGATAACAGTTTTCTTCAAAATTAATTCACAACAATGAAAACACTAACTAAACCATTAACTCTCTTATTGACTATAGACGAAGGACTAATTGTCAGGCTGGTGATCATAAATATTTGGACCATGGTTTGAGGCATGTCTCATTTAAGGAAGAGAAATAGTGATAGTATTATTGATAAATCGATAGTCATAATGCTTCTTGAAACTGACATTAATTTCAAATTTTATATTTCAAAGAAATAATTTCACCAACATGCCTTCAATATTTATTGATGTGCAAGATGTTGTAATTAGTAGTAACTTGTAAAAGTGAAATATTTGATTAAGAAAACTGTTTGAAATGTCACCTTAATAAAACCAATGATAAAAGTATGAAGGCGTGTTATTAAAAACAATCCTCTGATTATATTAATTGATTTGAGAGAAAAATTCTTTTGCATGATTATGATAACAGGAGCGAACTGAAATCAGTGTATTAATGCATGGAGCGATCCATCAGGAAGTATCTACACAACAATGAATGCCCCATTAGTAGGCAAAAGACCATGTGGAAGGCAAACAACTTGATGGATAGATTGAATTAACAAAGATTCAATAGAGCTGCAGGCAGATAACTGAAAAAAATAGCCCTAGATGAGTAGAGATGGAATAAGCTGGTTAAGGCGGCAAAGGATATACAAGGTCTGTTATGCCAGCAGAATTGAGTTAATCAAAACAGATACATATTTTGCAGATTAATTTTATATTTCAGATGGGATGAATAATCTTTGGTTAGCTAATCTTCTGTTCTAATAGTCTGATTCAATAATGGGTAAAGAGAACCACTCTTTGGGATCAGATATATCTATATTTTGATACAAATAGCCGACTGAACTTAGAATTCTATTTTTTTTCTTTTTCTTAGTACCCAAATCCTAGAATAAGTTCATATTGTTTGTAGTTGAAACTCCTTTAAATTCTATCTTCGCATCTATAAATAATCACTAATATTTTATCTCAGCATCATTAAAATGATTGTATCCTAGCTAAACAACTGGAATAGAAATTCCCTACTATTAAAGAAAAAATAAATTAATATATTTGATTTTATTTAGTTATAATTAATTGATTTAATGTATATATGTCTGATATTTTTTATTTTGCCAATTATCTTACCACATTCAAACCAAGATGCTCAATAAATAATTGTCTATCTTTTTACGTCAATATTAAATTCTACTTTATTATGTTTGATGATTATGTTATTTTTTCTATCTGTTCTCAGAGAATTCGAGGTTCCTAGTCTAAACTTTCCTGGGCAGGTACATCGATGGAGGCTGTCTGGTCTTCTACAAAGAGGTGTCCTCAATACTCATGAAGCCTTATTAAATGATCTTGCACTTGCACTAAGGTAACTTAAAACATGTTATTAGTTTCACAAATAAAATATTTAATATTATTTTGAGTTTAATTGTTTCAATGAAAAGTTTATATTTTCTTTATTAAAATATGTGTTATTGATTAACCTCTTTGACAAATTATTTTCCAAGACAAAGAGCCACTAGCATTTTCATAGAGTATTTGATTGAATGTCTAAAACTAAAAAAATAATTTGAAAGTTTTTGTCTAAGATATTCAAAGCTTCAGAATAACGTTTCTGCATGATTATTTCTTCAAAATTTAGAAACCTAAAATGGACCAAACCACACTCTCAAAACCAGGAGTGCCAATTCTACCCAAGATCAACATCACTTGCTTTCCCTCCTAAGTAATTTTGTTACTTTCAACTTTGTCTAGTTTTAAGTTGAATTATAAAATGAGTGGTTTATATAAAATCATAATTGCTGTTGTTCCTGGTTTGAAAATTTCTTCAAGAGTTGAAAGCTCACAAAACATGGCTCCCTCCAAAATTCATAACCCCTTCAAAATGTCTCTCTTGAAAAATTCCAAACCCTGTAAAAATTTGCTTGCCCCCTCAAAAAGTTTGATGGTGCAACATGTGATAAAAACATTTAATCAAAAAAGTTTAACGCATACTTGTATACTGTAAGTGTATATGTACATTTATCTGTTTTGGTATAATGTATTTTCTCTATTTGTATTTTTTAGAGTGTTGGCGGGTGATAAAATATGTTTAAATTATATTAGTTATTTAAAATACATGTTATGTTTTCCAGTTAGTTCATTAAATGTCATTTGAGAGATTCAAGACTGTTTTGTAATATTAAAATAATAACCTTTTGATATTACATATCGTTAGTTAAGCTGTAATACCTCATAAGTCAAAAAAATGAAAAGAGTAAAGAATACATTGGATCATAGAGCATCCACAAAACTTTCATATTTTCGTTTATTGAATGAAGTTGATATTTCTGGCAATTGTCCTCATTATCAGGAATGTTTGTTGAAGGAAAAAATATAAAATTAACCTGAGAAGGAGTTAATCAGGGGGTGCGGTCCAATAAATACTAAATTAAAATATGGTAATTATTTAATTTTTGGCAAAAATTAAATAATTACTATATTTTAATTTAGTATTTATTGGACCGCACCCCCCGATTAACTCCTTCTCATATTATATCAACGGTCAACCATCTCTACATCATTATAAAATTAACCATTGCAAAAAAAAAAAATTTTAAATTATTTAATTTTTTATGTTGTTTTACAATGGAAGGATAAAGGGGGAAACCAAATATCACTGGTTTTGTTAGTATGAGTCATTGATATAAATGGATTCAGAATCAAAAGGTGCATTCTTTCAAATAGTTGGATTATGAAAAAATGAATACTAGTGCTTATTTTCATATTCCAATGCTCTGGAAGAAAGTAACTTTTCATACTGAATCCATTTATTTTACTAATTCTGGTATCACAATACTTTTCCTTGCTATATATTACATATATTGGTAAAAATCTGGTGTTATAAACAATTACTAGATTATGATACCAATAATACTGCTAAATAATATTAAGTAATATCTGATATCCTCCTATCGCCAGGTTATTATACAGCAATCAGCTACTGGTCCTCCAGGTTGAGTGTGCATTTACACTAACACTCATGCAGTTCACTAAAATAGTACATTGAACATCCAGATCATTTAAAGTACACACCATAGACACAGACTTTTCATTCTGATTAGGGGATGTAGTACCTTCTCCTCCCCTTCATCCCTCCCCCAATAAAAAGACTAAGAAGTTGATAATGTGCATAAAAATTATGAGTGACAATTAACATAATCAACATAATTATTGTAAAACAAACGAAATAATACTGTATAAGAAAGACAATGTATTTTATCGGTTATGGGTATATTTGAAAATATGTAATAAAGCAGTTGAACATATTACATTTAAAGGCTTGAGGCAATGAAATGAACTCTAAATTTGCCGATGCTTCAAATTGGGAAATGTGATCAAATCTTCGCATAAAAATTGAAGTGTGTACATGAATGAATCATAAAATTCTAGGATACATTGCTACATTTAATTATCTATGAATATAAACTAAAATTTCAATAATAAGAATACAGGGCATGGTAAAATACTTGTCTACCTACTTCTAGGCCTTAGCTTAGCCATCTAGTCGACTTTTCCTACTCCGCTAATTGATTTTAGTTTACATATTTTATTCATTCATGTAGATTAATAGTTATTGATTTGATTTTAATTTTTGTTCTTCAAAATATTGGAGGGCCGAAACATTCTCCCCCCCCCTCTTTTATTATTCGGAGGAAGCAATCAACCTCACTCTCTCCCCTCTAAGTCTGCTTCAGTCAAAAAGCTCTGAGGAGGCAGCCCCTCCATCTAATTTGTTGTACAGTGGACCAACAACCAACTTCCCTTAAAGCTTATCATGTTACAACTCTCTTACAAAAAAGCTGGACGAGTCAAAGGATCTGGTAAACATTTAATGTTGGCTATGTGAAATGTGAGAAGCCTGGCACAGGCTGGAGCAAGTAGGCTTGTGAACGAAGCTAAAACCAAGGACTTATTTTTGGATAAGGCTCCAATATTGACTGGTACCAGTGTTTCTTTGGGCCTTACATGTTTGAACAGGTCTCTGAGTTGGTCTGTCTGGGATCAACGTTAACCTGCAACAATGATCTAGCAGTGGAGATTAGGAGGAGAATATTGGCTGCCATTCACTAGTATTTTGGACTTGGAAAGCATTTCTCCAGCAATTTGATTACTAGACGAACAAAAGTTTCAATTTATAGGACTAATAATTTTACAAATTATTTGTCCTGTACTTTGTTATGACTAACTCCTCACATTTGAACGGAAAGCATTACGCCAAATTTATGGCAGTGTGTACAAGAACAATGAATATAGATGGAGAATAACATCTAGCCAGAACCAGGAGAGGGAAAATCTACCTCCTAAGAAAATTTTGGTTGAGGACCTTTTTAGTTATTGCTGAGCTGCAAGGCCGTAGCTGCGGTGGGGAAATTATGTCACCCATAACTTAAATTATGGGTTACATTAGTTTCGCACCTTCAAATATAAGAAAATATTTGAAGGTGCGAAACTTGATGGCAGCATCACAGAACAGAGATGCATGGCAGTTGCTGTTGGAGGAAGCTAATACCCTTTATGAGTTGTAGAACTATTAAAGAAGAAACCATATCAGATGACCAGATGGTTGGGTCATATGGCACGTATACCCAAATACTCAATTCCCAAACACCTGCTGGAAGATTGACCTAGTGGGAGACATGGCAGAGAAAGATCATGCTTGAGATAATTGTATGAGGCGGAGGACATCTTTTTGAGGACAGCCTGAAAATGCTGGAAATCATAAATTGGTGAATGCTCCCCTGGGATAGAGGAGTATGAAAAAATATTATAATTAGTCGTGTATATTAGTGGAAAGGCCTAGGTTTTTGCAAAACTGTAGCACCGAGAAGACATTGAGAAACTCTGATAAGAGAAGCAGAGCAAATTGGCCTATAAGTAAAGAAATATAAAACAAAGTATATGATTGTAAGCCAAAAAAATCATCTCAATAACAGGATCTGTGTATAAGAGAAATCATTCCTGAGAGCAGAAAAATTCAAATACCTGGAATCCACAATAATCTCCATGAATGACCAACAGTTGGAAATATATCAGTGTATAATAAGTGTAAACAGAACTTTCTTCTCTCTTTCAAAGATATTGAAATTGCTAGAATTAATAACTAAGTTGTAATAGATCTGCATGCAGATAGATGGAAAGAAATAGCCCAAGATAGGTAAAGATAGAGAAGGCTGGTTAAGGCACAAAATGATCTAAAAGGTCTGTTATGCCCAAACAAAATTCATAACTTTTTTAAAAAACATTTTTAGTATCTCATTTTGGTTTTATTATTTTCTATAATGAACCATTATTAATCATCCAAAAAATTTAACCCTCCTCAAAATTTGAGGTTTTACGTTTCATGGTACGTAGAATTCGAAAATTGAATAAAAAATTGTTTGGTCCTTCCACCTCTGCCATCTGTGGCATTTCTCAGAGACTACTACACCATTTTTTTCAAATTTGGAATAAAAGTCAGAGGTCAGCTGAGGATGATCCTCCTATCTTGACATCTGCCCTTTCCTTCCTAGATGGCAGCCAAAAAACCTATGTTTTATAATATATAAATAGATAACATTGCAACAATTGATGTAAAACTTTCAAAAAATCAAAAACTAAAACAAAAGATATAAAGTTTTTGAGTCATATTGAATACTTAATAGTTGATCATTGTATTATTAAGGAAGGAGATGATCCGGGGTGGCGGTCATAAATAGACTAAATAGTGACGAAACTATTTTATTAAAAGCCAACGTTTCAACCCGACTTTGCAAGTCTTCTTCAGGAAGGTGTGTTCAGCAAGGAGTTTCACTTAGAACTGTTCTAAGTAAAACTCCTTGCTTAACACACCTTTACAGAAATAACAATATATTAATATGTAACCTCCCAACCACTCACTTCCATAGAGAATATAATCCAATTATGGACTGTTTATAAGGAGTATTATTAATTCAAGTAAGAATATTAAAATTCACCAAGAACTGATATCTGATTGATCTTGCCTTAATATATGCAATTTTATTTATGGAATATGGTTATTCTATTTTTTATTTTAATTAAATTGATTCTTAAATTAACATATTGACTGAACCTAATTATGGTTATATTTTTTGTTGGTTTTTAATAGATGACTAATATCACCATCATATCATGTTAAATGTAGTTTTATATGAAACTAATTGTTAATTGGGTCTTACAGATGAAAATGGCATCATAGCCAATGTAAGAAAAGGAAAATAAACATGGTGAAATAAATGCAGCCTTACTTTATATTATTAAAAATAATTTCACCTAAAACAAAAAATATACATGGAGGAAAAACTAATAAATATTAGAACAAATTTTACAGTAGTATTTGTTTTAGTTCATTTTTGTTATCGCAAGAAAAACGATTGGTTATTGAAAGTTCAGAAAAAAAACTATTAATTGTTAGTTATTCAGCAACTACGAATAAAACTATTTAGTTATAGTAAGCATCATAACTATTTTTTCTTAGCTAAATAAATAATTAGTTGCCCATTTCGAATGGCACCTAATTTAGTTACAGATGTTAGTTGTCAATTGGCAAATAACAACTAACTATTTAATTCTGTGTTTAAGATAGCTACAAATAATTTAGTTGTATTTATTATCTATTAGTTACAATTAATATTTGCCCGACTCTGTTTTAAACTTATGAGGTATCACAGATTAATTGACAATTGATGAAAATATATATATGTAATTTACATTATACTTGGTTTAACTAGAGATATAACAATAATTATATTTATGAAACAGAATTTAAATATTTGTATTTATGTGACTAACCATACGTTGATTTACCATGTCCTATAAATAAGTATATTCAACCATTTTGTCATAAAGTGTCATCTTCTTCTAAATGATGTCTGTAATAAGAAATAGATTGGTGATAGTCTTGTTTGTTAACTTATGTATATCTATTTTAATAGTGACTTATTAAAGTTAAATTTTATTGTTCTCTGTGAGCCAAACTTGAACCTGACATTTAATGTAGACTTAAGTTGTATTCTGAAAATGTCTGGTTTAATCTCATGTGTCTTGGTATTCATGTGTGGTTATGTGATGTCTATTCCATATTACACAAATGTCATGTTATGTTTGACCTGTTTTCCTTTTTATTCCCTTGTTGGTTTTCAAAAATAATTTTACAACATACTTATTTAATTTGTCACATTTATTAAAATAAATTTTATGATTTATCTATGTCAGGTATGAAAGGAAGCTTTGAGCACCAAACTTTAACATTGGGAGAGACTAGTGACATTTTCTGCTTCGTAGTTTTTATTCACCAATTTTTATTTTACTTAAGAAGTTGATTCACTGGAGGAGCACATTTATTTCAACTATTCTCAATTTAAAATCATGATGTGAAAGTGGCTTCCCATAAATTCATTTAAATTTGAGGTGGAAAATATTTTTGTTGGTAAATATGAATTCGTGTTTCTGCTCCTTTGCTCTGTAAGATGATAATCTTAGGCCTCACCACAACCTTCTAAATGACTTTAATACAATGAAGAAAGGAAATGGACTGAAGAATATATCTACAGCTGCCTTAGAAATCTTAGATTTTACCTGGCTAACTGATCAAGGTACAACTTAGCATATGTCTAATGATTAATTTAAAAACTTACAGTTGTATATGTACCTTAGGTTAAATTGTCTGGAATACCCAAGACAACAAAATAAAGAACTCAAAACAAATTATTTCTAATCTCACAAATAAATAATTCTTTTAAGAATAGAAATACTTATATCTTTTTCTATATTTTTAATCTTTTACTAACATATTTTTTCTTTATAGGTTTATAATTGTAACAGCAAAAGCGAGATTGGTATCACATTTTTTTAGTTTGACACAAGCTTTAGCATCTTTAATAACTGGTTTTCTTAAGCTATTAGGTGAGTAAATCTTTCTTAATATATCTGTATTTCTAATTATGAATTACGAATTTCAAAATCCATCATTATATCATAATAATTCTGAAAATGTTATTTTATAATGTTTATAATATTATAATGTTACTTTTTTTTTTTCAGATATAATTTTGGGGGTTCCAAGTGTACAAGCTCACAATTTGGAGGGTAGGTTGCGAGAAGAAAGAAGTAGATATCTTGTCGCAGAGTTTGTTTGCCGGGTATGTTAACCTTAAACATATTTTAGTAACTTCTTTATTTAAAAAAAATCTTTCCAAGACAGCTTTAAATTTATGATTCATTGCTCAAACATTTAAGCTCTATTCACATGAAGATGTTCTTTAATTCATGCAGAGGGAGCCATTCACACAAATATACTTGCAATAAATCAGTATCTGAAGCTGAATTATAATATTCCTGGAGCCTGATGCATAAAATCCAGCCCATAGAACATATATCTTTGAATAATTTTTAATGTAATTTCATTCACTATATGTATGGAAACGCATTTCTGGTGGTCCTGAAACTCTTACTCAGCACTTAATTAACTTGCTATAATAATGAATTACATCGCGCTAACTAGCTCATTGAACATTAACTTAGTTTATTTTTCAAATATGATGAAAATATATTTCTGCCTAACATTTAACTCTTCCTAATGACTTCCAGAAAAGAAAAACGTGACAATTTTACTTCAACTTAACTTAAAGTAAGATTAAATTAAACTAATTTAATGTACTTTGCAATATAATAATAATGTATTGTAAGAATGTACCTAAGTATTTTCAATTTTGTTTTGTATTTTTTTTTTTAATTTAATATTTAGATTTTTTTTTCTTTTGGTATGTAAAGAAAGATTTAAAGAGTAAATAATAAAAACTGAAATTTATACACCCTAGGTTAAGAGAAAAATATTCCTTAAAAGCTTCAAATTCAATTTTTTTTTTCACAATAATGTCCACTAAGGACGTGTATATCATTTCTCGGCTTTCTTATTAGCCCATATTTTTTTCCCTTTCTCACTCATTTCTCTCTTTCACTTGTCTGTCTATTTTTCCCTTCTCTCCTCTTCTTTTTAACTGCAAGTACCTTAATGGATTTTCTGAATTTTTCTTTGTCCTGGTATTCTTTTTCTGTAATACCAAGTCTTGTTATTTCCACTTTCATCTGCCTGGTTCAATACCACTGCTTTAGAAAATAAAAATAAAAATAAATTAATAAAATAGAGAAGGATCATTAAATTAATTTGATGAGTAAACCATTGTAGCAACAAAAAGATAAAAAAAAAAAAACAACTAAAGAGAACTGGCTTTCCCCTTTCCCTAATTTGGGCAAATACCGATATTCCGAAGACCAATTTATCGTCCTCATGACCTTATTTTATCAAGATTCGTAGAGTTTGATTTCTTCTTTTTTATTTATTTATTACTTTTTTTTGTGCACTGCAACACAATTTTCTGATCTTCCCCTTAACATGATATATATATATATATATATCGGCATCTTTCACTTTGAATGTTATTTTTATTGCTAATAAATGTATCAATAATTTTCCAATGGATCATAAACAAAATTTGATCAAATACCGATATATCAGCCTTATGACCTTATTCTAATGAGATTGGTAGAGTTGGAAAAATTATTATTTAATTCTTCTCAGTCCAGTATTTTTTAAATATGTTCCCATAAATCTCCTTAATCCTACTTTTGGCAGTACTAACTCTGATTCCACAAACAGGTTCAGGAGTTATGGGAATGGTATCTGAGCCCAATCTGGCTAGTTTATGTGCCTCTTTGTTGCCTAGTACGCCCGAGTGACCGGGCACCCACTCCACTACAACTCTATTGCGTTCAGTCAGTTTGTTAAGTGCTGTGCTGCATTCCTTAACAACCTTTGAATACACATAATAATTGTTTAGAGCACATATTACTGCCTGACTGGCGGTGTAGATTGTAATCTTTTTCCCAGTCACATTGTTTCGCAGTAGGTTTTGAGCACAATGGCAAATTGCTAGTATCTCAGATTGAAACACTGAAGCATATCTGCCAAGAGGTATAGAATCTCTTTCTTTGTTATTTTTATGGTAGATGCCTGCTCCTGAGCCATAGGCTGTTAGAGAGTCACATGTATAACAATTAATACCATTTTTTGGTTTGTGTTGTGTGCTGATGTCTATCTTAACCCCATATTTGCGGTCCAGATATTAACGGATCAGAGCGCATGGCTAGCACTTCGTCACGTCCAATCCTGTTCAGCAGTACTGTGTGTCTCCCTTGACAGGGGATTATGGATCAGCTTTTCAGCTTGCTTAGCCTGTATAATGTATTTTTTGCTCGAGCCCCCACCTCCAGCCGCAGTGATGGCATGTTCAACAATACCTCCATAGCAGCCGTCGGTGTAGAGTTCATCGCACCCGTTATCATCATACATGCTAGTCTTTTGATTTTTCCTAATAAGGATGAATTAACTGCAGTCTTTGTTTTATGCCTCCGAAGCAAAGCTGAGTATAATATGATAGGTCTAACTATTGTTGTATACAGCCAGTATACCATTTTAGGTTTGAGTCCCCAGTTCTTCCCTATAGGCATTTGAGGGCTTTACTTGTCACGTACTGAACATGTTTAGTCCATGACAGTTTATGGTCCAAAATGACTCCAAGGTGTTTTACTTCCTTGCTATGTGTCAGTTGGATACCAATAGATGTAACGCTAATTTGTATAAATAATATTGTTATTCTTAAGGGACGTTGTCCCAGAATAAAGTTTAAATTTCTATTTCTATGAACAATTCTTCGATTGATTATTTTACTCTTCTTTTTTTTCTTTAAAATTAAAAAAGCACTGTTTATTTAAAAATAAAAAATAAACATTCTCAAACTTTATTGTTATTCAGGCAAAAACATTTTTTTTCTTTTTTAACTGATTGAAATTTAAAGTACTGGTTCCAATGTATGCAAAGTTTATTTAAATGAAATTATGAGATTTTCAAGGCCTGCCATGAATAGGTAAAAAGTTGTTAGTTACAATAATTGTAAGTGGGTAATGTTGAGATTTCACAAAAGAAACATTCATCAAATTATTCAATAATTTAATTTTCTAAATGGTTACTTAATGATTTTTTGGGATACCTAATTATTTAAATATAATGTCATATCTAGAGTTATTAAACTACATTATATGTATTTAAGGTTATAAACATCTCCATGAAATATTTTTATATTTCACACTAGTATAATGAAATATTATTTGAAAACAATGGCATTTGCTTGATTCAGTGGATTTACATTCTTTTTTTTTTCAAAGTTTAAAAACAAATTTAAAAGTTTACATTTAGTACGGAAATTTCATTTAATTTCCTTGGAAACATATGTCAAATAATGTTTGTATTATGAAATTATTATTTTTATCTTTTTATTTATTTATTTTTTTTTTTCACTCTCCGTTACCTTCTACAACTTTATTTATTTTATATTATATTTTTTCTAAAATTCTCCGCTTTCCAACGATATATTATACGTATACCTTCTGATTTTTATTTCCGGAGATTCATTTTCGACCTGGATAATCTTTTTTCTCCTTTATACAATTATCGAATTCTTTCAAAAGTTATATTTAGCCATTTTTTATAGTTACTGTCAATAAAAGAGAATTAAATTTTCAAAATAAACCATATTAAAGGTACTTTCAAGGAAGATGTATATGAACATTGCTTATTTAAGCCCTGTAAAGTGACATCAATGGCCATAATACCTCAATTATATTAAAGACCACTTAATTATTCACTGATACACAGAGATTAATAGAAATCGTCGGAGCCGTTTTTGAGAATATTGTAAAAATATGTTTCACCGATAATTTAAAGTGGAACTTCCGGTTAGCCGACTTTACGAAAAAAGTTTACGCCACATCTAAGGCATATACCTATCTTAAATGCGTACTATCAGTTTCGTACGACTTTTTGTTTTGGAGCTAGATTGTTCACATACGCACAGACCATTTTGCTGGACTTGGTTATTTGGACTCAGGGGACCTCAAAACATGTATTTCATTGAAAAATTGGATTAAAAAATTTTCACGATTGCAATACTTTCCCTTACTATATATTCCATATATAGGCAAGTGAAAGTAAAAATAGATAATTAAAAGTACAAAAAAAAAAATGTATTTCCATTGAAAATCAGATTAAAAAATTTTCATGATTGCAATACTTTCTCTTACTATCTATTACATGTATAGGTAAGTGAAAGTAAAAATAGGTAATTAAAAGTACAAGAGAAAAAAAAAACATAATTGTAAGGTAAATAAGCATAGATTATAGTTGACGGAAGTGAGTAAGGATCATGGAAGAGTAGATTCACCGAAAGTAAACAAAACAACCCGGCAAACAATAGAACACCACTGAAATATTTCACCACCGACCAATTCCTGATTCACTTGCCCATCTCTGGAACAAAACCTTAGTGTTCGTGGCTTGCAAGACAAGACACTTCAGAGAATTATCCTAAAATAATTCTATTTGAACACAAAGGATAACAGAAAGAATAATACCAGCTCAAGACAGGTAAGCGCCAACATGAAAGAATTAACTGCCAGGAGAGGAAATAGTATGCTCATATTGTGACATCCGTCACCACCCACTAAGTACCGATAACTCACAGATTGGGCTGAAGTACATAAATCGATTTGGTGTGTCCTTTACTCATCTGAGCAAAACATTGTGTGCTAAGGCAGAGATTGTTCATTGTAAAAAAAGAATGCCACTCATTTTCAAAAAAAAAAAACGAATAGCTGGACGCTCGCTCCCACGCCAATTGGAATTATTGATGAACAACTAGAATAATGTGAGCTGAAACAATGAGAAACTTTATCTAGGCCCTTCAAAAGGTATGATAGTGTAATGTGGCTTATAATGAAATTTGTGTAAACTAAATAAATTAGGTTAAGAAAATTATAATGTAACCATTTTTTTTTTTTTTTTCATGGGTGATAGATAGGACGCAGTCAGATTTTTATTGTTATCGTTTTAATCCAAGCATGTGGGTCATCAGCAGTGCTTGGATTGAAACATTAGCAATAAAAATCTTAAAAAACTGACTGCTTCCTGACTATCTATAATCCATGTTATGTAGAACAGTCTACTAACTTCCAATTATTTCTTCTGCTTTTATAGCTTTAATATTTTGTCTGTATTAATTTTTTAGTCTGACTATGAGAAATCTCTTGAAGTTTTGTGCATGTTTGTACGAAGACAATTACGAAGGGCAGCTACTGAAAAATATGAAGTAGAGAGAGAAGCGTCGCACCCACCCGTGCCAATACCTTATTTATTTTACACTCCTAAGGTATTTTCTTTTATTATTTAGTTGATAGTATTTGTATAATTTTAAATGAAGTCCTTATCAGTCAGTTTTTTTACAAAGCAATAAAAAATAAATTATTAAGGGGTATGGAGTATCATGATAATGGGCTGGTGACAAAATTAAAGATAGAAAATAAATTACATGAAATCTTTTCTTTTTGATGTAATGATTAATTTGATTCCAGGGTTTTGAGGTTGACCTCCGACTTTTCGGGAAAGAAGTTATGAGAAAAGCTTTACCTATTTTAATGAATATTTTGGAACGCGAAACTAGAGGTTGGTTTTTGCATTTTAGAGAACGGCTTATTTCAGAGCTTAGGCAACAAAAAAGGCCAGATGAAGAAATTGAAAAGGTATGACTTTATGAACATAGTGTAATTCCTTCAAATTTTTTATAAAAATCTTAAATAATTGAGCAATATTTTGAAAATTAACATAGATATAATTCACAGTTATCATTTATAGTTAAACCTTTGTAATATCACTTCGATAAGACCAGAGGGTAGATTAAAATGTGTTAAAAGCTTTGATTGACTAGAGATAAAACATATATGTATAAATGTTTTACTTATAAAAATTTTTTTCTCTTCACTAAACCATATAGTATTAACAATCTCTCATTTATCATGCTGCGTATTTCAGTAAGAAATCAGAATAATAATAGGCTCAGTTTAACTGCAGGGATCTAAAAGGCCGCGTGAACCTCCTAAAACACCATGCCAACTGTGTTCACTCAATAGGTATTGGGTGAGGGATTGTCCATCCTGGAAGCAATGTAGAATATGTGGTAAGGATGGACATTTCATGGAAACTTGCGACCAAACTAAATGTGATACTTATGAGCGACATGGGCACATTGGACTGCTATCTGCAAATGTTAATAACCTGAACACTGATAATTATGATGAGGCACTGATAATCCCTATCTGCCAATGTTTATAACTTGAACACTGATAATTGTTATAAGGCACTGATAATCCCTATGTTCATATGAAATTAGACTCTCGTATAATAAGAAATATAAATATATTTGGTGTTGCCTCTTTTTTAGCCTGTTTCTTATTAATATATACATATACATACATATGTATATTAATAAGAAATATAAATATTATAATAATATAGTAATTTAAAAGAAATATAAATAACAACAACAACAATATTTTAAATAACAACACTTTTATTTTACAACATACATGATTTATTTATTTTGGGAGGCAAAATAGTTTAATGCTATTTAAAATAGCGAGGAACGGGTCCTCTTCTCTGTGAGTGAGCCTCCACAAAAATTCACATAAATATGAATCGAGGTGTTGCCTCGCAGTTCCTCGCTGTTTCTTATTTCTCCATTACCTGAGCCCCATAAACGTTCTATATGTTGAGTATTGACTCGGTGGATTAACGAAGTTATAACTGTGATTCACCTGGAAATGATTTTAGTTTGCTTCATTCAGTTGTTGGGTGTTGTCTCCTTTCCAACAGTCCGAATAAACGGTGCTTCCCTCTTCTCTATTATTTTTAATACATTCTAATAAAGTCCTTACCTTTTTATCCTTTATTTTTAGGATGAAACATTCGTCTGTTTCTCGACAAACTCCGCCAAACATCCATTGTTTATAGGGAGAATTCTCCCTACTTGATTTTTTCGTTTAGTAAAAAGACTCTTCTACTTCAACCACTTTCCCAGACCCTCCAATTTTCTTTGTTGACCTGTGTAACATGTTATGGTCACAAACTTCTCTTAAAAATTTGTTCCACATTATGATACATTTGTTCTATAGTTTCAGTTGCTCTTCGCCCCACTTTATTGTTGTCAAATTATGAGACCATCCATAAATAAATATAAAAGCGGTTGAAAAGCTAATCTTTGACCCCTCTAACCAAGTCCCTTTCCTTATTGATACCTTTTTCAGACAACTCTTACGAAAGCATCTCCATTTCGCATATTTCATCTTCGCCATCCCTGCATCTAGAAAATATTTGATAGCCTCTTCTTCTGAAGACGGCAATTGCCACAATGTAATTACATCCATTTTAATAATGCACAATGAATAAACACACATGGAACAGCTCACACTATATAAAAAGGCTTATTACGTGACGTTAGAAGATAAGAAGGGAGGTTTAGCAGAGCCCTCGTCGCTCACAAGTACCCTAAATGCTTCCAGTGTGGCATTCGGCCATGTTTGTAGAGCTTGTCGCAAGGATTTAAGACACAGCGGAGTTGATACCTCCACCTCGGTTAGCAAGGTGGTATTGTATGGGGTTTACTGGGTGCTCTCCAACCCTGTTTAATTTTGATATTAAATTTGAAGACAAATTAAGAAAGGTTAACTAAACCTATGACAGGGATACTTATCGAACCTGCAGGTAGCAGCACTATTATGGGGCGTTACAGGTGAGAAAGGTCTCGTGGATGGAAAGCAGACTGTGGATATAATTGATGTTAATTCAGCAATACGTTATACAGTTTGAATTATCCACTCGGATATTGGTACAGAAGGTTTTCTCAGTCTGGATGTAATGAAGTAATGATTTACTTAGCAAACCTGTCTGAGAATATTAGCAGAAGAACAAATCACGGACCTAATAAGTTTACTGTCCTGGGGTGTATAAAAACAAAGGGCAGAGCGAATCAGAGGTTACGCTTTTATATAATAGTTGGTAGTTCTAATTCTACAAGATAGGTCTCCCTCACACCTTTCTTGATTATTATTTTTAGCATCTTCTCCATGGACATTTATAACATCTGGCCATAGATTGATACTTGTTCCAATGCTGCCATTTATACCTCCAGTAACAATTGGATCTCCTTTTGCATCATCTATTTCTCTTTGAATACTGTCAAAGATTTCATTCTTCTCTGTGGTAATGACATTATCATTCGGTCTGTAGGCCCCAATGGTCCCGGCGTCCTATAGTTTTATATGAGATATAATGATTATTTACGTTTGTATCATTATTTGTTAACAACAAATGAAAAGAAAGAGAAAAAGTAAATAAAACCTTAGTTAACCATGTTATATATAAAACGAATAAACCTATATACAAAAGGCTTAAAACTATGACAAGACACAAGAGTAAGAAAATCTTGTAGTATCCCTAGCAATGAACAGTAATATTCCTAATATTTGATGATGAATGACATAAAATAAATGTATAAATCCAAAAGGTTAGCAGATATCTGATTCTTTTTGGGACAGGAATTGTAATAGGAGCGTTTTGAATGTAGATATGGATGGTAAATGCTAAATTTTGGTTGAGAGGGAATTCCAGAAATTGACAGAGCTAGCAATAAAGGAGTTTTGGAATGAGGCAGACCTGTGAGAAGGGATGTAAAGGTCAGAAGGTCAAGATCTTGTACGTCTAGAACAAACCCCTCCCTTCTCCTGTATAACAGAAATGGTGTGTAGGGGGTTATCTAATAAAAAAAAAATGGTTGAGATCTTGTGGAAAGGGAATGGACTAAGGACTTGAATTGGAGAAGGCTTTAGGCGGAAGGACAATGATTGTTGATTTGATTGAGGAACATACCTCAGAAATATTGTCTTCAGGAGGAGAAGAGCCACCTTAACCGTGTAGAGGTGAGGGACATGGGAGTTTATCGGTTCCCCAATTACAAATTTATGCAGCTATTCATTAGTCTTTTAAGTATATCACAGAGCTCCACCGAGGTCATCATACACCACACAGCTGTAGTCAAAGTTAGGGCAGATGAGAGAGGAAACTAGAAGTCTGTGCATATGTTGAGCTAGATGGTAGAAGCAATGGAATAGTTTGAGGGTAGAAATCGTCCGTTGGGAGATGTGAGAAGTATGGTGATTCCAGGAGAGAGTTTTATCAATGAAAAATCATAAATTTTTAAAAGAGGAGCAGGAGATTGGCTGGTCATTAAGAGGTAGTATGGGAAAGTTGGTATGGGATCTAAGAAGGGGCTTGGGACAGTGGTCTGAGTTTTGGCAGTATTTTACCTTTATCCATTTACATTTGCCCCTAGGCACTGATTTGATATAAATTTACTTGAATCTTGGAAAATGCTACCAACAACTCAGCAGAAGAAAAGGATAGGTAGATCTGAGAATCGTCTGCATAAAGATGGTAGGAACAATGAAGAATTGACTTATGTATGAGCTGAAAAGGAGATGATATATGCTTGAACCCTGGGCAACTCCAGAGGACAAAGAAAGGTAGGCAGATAGTGGTTGATTGGGTATGGAGACTGCTTGGGTACATTGTGAGAGGAAAGATTTGAACCAAGAAATGGAACCATTAGAGAATGATTTTAGTTTGTTGAAAAGGATGGAATGGTTAATGGAATCTAAGACTTTGGAGAAGTCAAGAAGTACAGTTTTTATAATCTAGCTCACTTTGAATATTACTGGTAATTTTAATTAAGGCAGATTGTGTGGAATAGCTGGGATGGAAACCAGATTAGAGATAATCAAGTTAGTTGGACTTTTCTAGGAATTTGGAAACGGAATCGCACTAATCTTTCTAAGAGTTTTGAGAGATTAGAAAGAATTCAGATTGGGCTTAAATCTTCGGGAGAGGATGGGATAGACTTTTTATTTAAAGGAAGGACAATGGCTTTTTTAAAAGAGGTAGGAAATACTGAATTCTGAAGGAAGAAAGTTTAGATAAAAAGGAGAACTGGTAGGATTTCAGGGAGACATAATTTTATCAATTTGACAGGAATACCATCTGGTTCTATGAATTTTGTTTGGGATTTCATTACAGCGGTTAAAAGGTCTGTGGGGAAAATGTCAGAAAAATAAAAATTATTGTCATTAAATGATATCTCTGGAGAAAAGCCAGTCGAGGAGGGTGGAGAAGAGGTATTATATACTCTTTCTATTTATTCAGTTTTTGGGATGTTGATTGGAGATGTGCTATCTCTATTGTCCATTTATGCCATCTTACATTTTCTAATCCTGATGACTGGTTTACTACTATTTTAGAGATTGAAGGTTTTTTCTACAATATTCCATTAATAAATTTATAAATCATCTTTAAATTCATTTGTTTTTTAATATAATTAATTGATCTTCTACGAAATAATTATCTTTCAATGATCTTCAATCACAGCTAACCATATATAGTTTTATTTTAAGATATATTGTTTGTTTTTTTTAAATTTTATCATTTTAACAAAATAAAAAACATTAATTTTTTTAATTACTCTGATTTTAGGAAGTAAATGAAGCTGTAATGAAAGAATATTTAGATCGGGTGTTTAGCAGCATTCTTTCATGTTCTGAATTGAAGGAACTTGGTGATGGTATTCCAGAACTTTTGGTTGAACAGGCACAGGCTGTCGTGCTCATGCACAGGTAACATTTATTAATCATTCAAAAGTTGAGATTACAGAACGCAGTGAATAGATATTTTTGAGACTACCATAGCCTTTGAGAGTTTTAAATGATGTCATGTAATTTTTTTTTTTAATTATACAAATAGAATTAAAAAGTCACTTTTAATTTCAGTCTAACACGGACTATTATAATTTTACTTTAGATACCTAAAGAAGTGAATTTGTATGGAATTCACAAAAAAACATGGGCTTTCAAATCCTAAACGGACTTTGGTTACTGATAGGTTTTTGTACTAACTAATTATTCGTTGAATGTACTTATTTAGTTTAAACATTTCATTAATAATAAAGTATTATCAGCCATTTCTATCTGATAAATGAAGAACCTGGGCCACCAAAAAAATAATAGTGCATGCATGTTACTCACCAGACTCAGCTCCTTTCGATTATTATTTATTTGCATTAATGGGGCATGCACTTCATCGCCAGTGCTTCACTTCTTATACAAATGTACAAAAATGGCTTCATGATTGATTCACCACAAAACAAAAACAGTTTTTCTGGTTTGCCATTCATAAACTTCATGAGAAAACATAGAACTAGTGATGGACAGTATTTCAAATAAAATATTTTTTAACATTTTTATGCAAATATAAACATGTTTTTCATTACGAAGATTCATATTTACACAGCTGGCCAATTGATTCTATGAATGATTTCCTGTTTTTCAAATTCTACAATCTAAAACTTGCCCATCTTTCAGTTCTTTTTAACGAATAGTATTGCTTTTTTAGACATTTCTGTTGAGGAATAATTCAGAATAATTGAATCATCAAATTATGTGAGCTGTCTGATAAGTGAAATAGGTACCTTTTGTTCTGTTAAACTGACAGTTTTTTAAAATAACTAGCTGACCCATATGAAGAGATTATTTCTTCATGCCGTACTATTGTACATAATTTTTTAAATCAGTTATTAGGTTTGACCCTGGCCGTTGTGAGTTAATCACATGTTTCCAAGAAAATTAAGATTTCCTTAGAACAGATGATTTGAATTGAAGGAGCTCAGAGATGTATGAAGGATGATGGAATTGGATGACTTGAAAGAGGAAGGATAGCAGGAAATATATTTACGACGGTAGGAAGGATAAAGCCACTTCAACTCTGCATAAAAATGGGAAACAGAGGCGTCCCTTGGTATCCCGATGATGAATTGTACAAAGTAATTAATTAAACGTTTTAATTTTGTCTCGAGATCCCCAGAGATGCTACCATATACCGAACAGCAATAGTCAAAGTGGGGGGAAATTAAAGAAGTGACTAGGAGCCTATGGGTTTCAAATGGAAATAGGTGACAAGAATAATTTTGACATTTTAGAGTGGAAATGGTACGGCGAGAAGTATTGGATACGTGGTTTTTCTAGGAAAGTGTTTGATCGAAGGTTATTCCAAGGTTTTTGACGGTGGGGTAAAATTTGATGGGAATATCATGCAGGAACAGAGTTGGAATATTAGGAACAGTTTTAAAGAGGTGATTGGAGCCTATTAAGATTGCCTTCGTCTTTCAACTTCAACTTGTTAGTTCTTGCACAGTCACAAATTCTATCCAAGTCTTCTTGAAGTTTTTCTGTGGCAGATAATAGTAAACTTTACAATGGAAAATAACAGTTTGGTAACTAATAGTCGTACAATCCATAATCATTTATAGGTTGAATATTCAGATATTCTTTCAAATCTCTCTAAGCATATATGAGCCTTTTGATTGACAGAATGACTAACTCCAATTTCAACATTCTTTATTATTAATTTTAGTGATGTTTCTAGTGGCAAAATTTATACCTTTTGTTATTTTTTACTGGGGTTCATCAATAGAACAATACTATGATCAGGGTGTTACGGTCTTTAATTTAGAAAAATTGTTTCCACAACAAACTTGTTGGATGCTCAGTGGAGATGGTAGGGTACTCAAAAAAAAAAAAGAAAGAAAAATAATCAAGAGTCAATTAATATTACTAACTATCTAACAGGTGCCACACTATTTAATTGGTTGAATTTGGAAAATAGCGACAACCACAATCCATTAGGGAAGGACTACCTATTCGCTTCCACACTTCCATTAAAAACATTGTTAAAATTACAAAAGGGATAATTTTTTATCAACATTAAAAATATTAATTTATGGATGAGGAGTGAGAATAAAATAAGAATTAATGATCTTTATATACATAAAAGTTTTCATGTAAATAAATCAAGCAATCAGCAGGTTTAATTTTTTTAGAAATATTATTTTACAATAACAAGCTATTACATTAAATGCATCTAGTTGGTTATGAAAGCTGCCTTCAGATTGTTTATTGAAGCATTGGGAAATTTGAAGAAAAAAAACCTACTTTCATGGGGGAGATCTTTTCTGATGAAGAAACATTTATTAAGACTAATCAGTTAAATAAAATGAAAATAGCTAATGAAAATCCTTTCGCCTAAAGATATAGAAGACATCAATACCAATTTAAATGAATAGGTTATTATTGTTAATTAACATTTCTGAAAAATGAATACCAGCAATTCCTTGAATTATTTTTCATGAAACCGTAAATCTTAGGAACATATATTTGGTCTCTTAATACAAGAAGGATAACTTTCCATAATAGAGATCTGTGTAAAGAACACTAGTAAATTAAGACTTTAGATGGTGACTTTTTGGAAAAAAAAAAAATTTCCTTCTTCCCTGCGGACAATTGGACTATGGTTTATGTAAACTTTTTTGTAGTTTTTGAGGTCTGCTACTACCTTTTTAAATGATTCCCTTTACTTAGGAAACGCCCTGTATAATGTATAAATTTTTATCATTACCTGAAGTATGTTATAACAATATAACATACATTAATTTTATTATAAATGAATAAATTTTATTATAAATGGTATTTTAATTGTTGTTTATAAATGTTTTAATTAATAAATCTATGGTCACAGGGAATAATTTGGAGTGGAATGTGGTCCCCAGTCATAATCATTTAGTGGTCATAACAGAAACTTTGTTTTGTGCATACCAAGAAGAAGTTTGTAACCCACAGCTCTAAATCTTTTCAAGGTTTAGATTAGAATAGTGAAGTTACTAGCTTCTTCATATTTTTCAGAAGGCTTAGGAGATGATCACATTACATATTACACAATACCTGAAGACCATTTTTCGATGTAACTATTTATTTCCTGTGATCATAGAAATGTGAGGAAGATTTTATGGTATTTCAAAACTTTTTTCTTGATTTTGTTCCATGTAATTCAATAATCTATATGTACATGAGTATTCCTGATACAGGGCTGTTGAAAATATGCAGCAAAAATTAATCAAAACAAAAGAAGCATTAAAGGAAAGGTTAGAGCGCTACCATCCAGTACGTTCCCGCATTGGACCTTGGATGAAGGATAGACTTCGAATCGCAGAGGTAAATAGTATTAGTCTTATATTGTTATGAGATTTTCATTTAATTTCTGGCAATGACAAGATATTGTTGAGTTAATATAACTAAACTGAAATTTGTTGTTTAGGAATGAGATTATATTTTAGTTCAATTTTTTATTTATTTATTTAGAAATATAATAATCTGTTAGATGAACAATAATTATAGTAATATATGAACACATTCACACTATATATACAGAAAATATAAAATTAACAAAAGTAAAATAATAACTAAATAATAATCAAAAACTATGTTCAATAAAAAAATAAAATTACCTAAAGATAAGTAAATTGAAAATATAAAAACATAATCATACCTATATATGATACATACAATCAGGCAGGGGATCCCAATCCAGGCTTCTCCCTCCAACTATAGAAGGAAAAGCAGGACTCAAAGATATCCCTGCGCTACTCTCTTAACCGTGTCACTGGTGACAGTGGAGGTTGAGCGAGAGCGCTTTAGCCAAATACACTCATGTCTTGAGTGGAGAATCTGGCCATTACCAGAACTCCCAAGATAAATACTACATAAGATCTCTGGGTCACTGCCGCTTCAACCTTCAAGGAGGATTGTAGGGATGAGTGGAACTAGATAGGGATTGTGCTAGGGGATTTAGATTATTTATAAGGTTCTGATGGAATTTAGAAAAATTTTCAATGTTCTTGTCTAGTAGTAAAACTGTTAGTTCGTCAACGGGATTTCTAACACCTTCGCATTCCAAAGGAGAATAGATATGTGTTTGTTGGGAGTCATTTAAGGATTTTTCAAAGGAAGGATGAGGTAAGATACGAGATTTGTAAGGAGTGATATTAGTGGGGTAACCAATGATTTGAATTCAATGAGCAATGATGACAACAAACTGGTGAGATCTGTGGCATTTGAGGAAGGAGGAATTTGAGTTTGTTGATGGTTAGGTATGTTAAGATGAACAGGATATTGAGGTTGGGGTTGAGGTAGTTGCTGCTGCAGGGCTTCACATTTATTACTTGGGTTCTTACCTCCAAGTAGTTCGGAGAATGATACATTATTATTAACAATTTTTGAAGGTTCTCTTCTTGGTCTGATTGTCACATCTTGAATCCGGTTCTTCTAGTATCTGGATTTGAGATTCTTATAAGTTTAGCACCCTTTGTAATTGGCCGGGTGTCCCTCTAGGCATAGGACACAAACTGCTGAATTTTGTATCGGTTTGGTGCACTCTGCTGATTTATGTTGTTCACCACATTTCATGCAACATGTCAAGTGGTGGTAATAAGTTTTCCTGTGGCCATAAGCCTGACATTTGTGGCACTGCACAATTTTTCTCTTGGAGTATGGCTTCTCTATCTTCACGATAATGTAGTACAATCTCTTGATTTCGTATATTTTCTCATTACCAGGTGATGGCTCTATGTCTAAATAGTGGAACTTTATTTTTTACTCCTGACTGCTCCTTATTCTCCTTCAGAACATTGATTACCTGACGTACTTTGGAACCATGCGTCGTTAGTTCTTCTTTTATCACTTCAGTTGGGATTGAAGAGTGCAAATTTCTTACCATCACTCGTAATGATCTCTCCTGTTTCAGCTGGTACATATGGAAATTTTCATTCATTTCTGACAGGCACTTCACAATTTTTTGGTAGGTTTCTACAATATCTGGTGTTATTTTTGTATTGTTGGTCCTGTTGAGGCAAGAATAACTGCCAGAACAGATTTTGTTTATTTGTGTACACAATAGCTGATATTTTTTACAAATATCGGAGGAGGCCTTGATTCCCTGGGTATTGCTGCTGACTCCATTACTTCTCTGTCATTATGAAGCACTTGGAATGGGTTTGGAGTAAATAAAAATCATTCTTGAACCATTTTTTGTGAAGACGTACCTGGTTGAAGCTGAAGTTCTGGATCTGAAGTGTTGATTGTGGTTATTGGAGCGGTTTCTTGTTGGCAGCTACGAGTTCTTTGTTTGGCTGGTGAATCACGAGGGGCACTGATGCTGTCTGTCCGAGTCCTCTTAGTGTTAATATACCGCATATCATAAGGGAAGAAAAGGGGAAAAAAAAATTAAAAATTAAAAAAAATATATATCAAACAGTAATTATCAGCTGTATTCAGTGAATAATCAGAGAGATTCTACTGAAAATAACTAAGTGTAGTAGACATCACCCTGTATTTACTCCTTTAGATGACAATGTGTGTGGGAATGAGAAGGTATATTTAATACATAGGAATGTGAGATTGCACTGTGAATTGTACTCAATTGTGCATTGGACAAATTGCTCATTGGAAAATCTCACATTCCTATATATTATATATACCTTCTCATTCCCTTACACATTGTCATTTAAAGGAGTAAATACAGGGGGATGTCTACTACATATCCTTGTAAATAACCTACAGGAAGTTAAATGTAAATGATTTGTTTTGGCGGGAATAGGCGCATAGCCTTCCCTTTTATATGGAACCCCCCCCCCTTAAGGTTATTTACACTCCTGAATATTAAAACAAAACCCAGGCACTGGATATCGACTTTTTGAGGGTGTTTAACTGTGATTGGGAATTCGGGAATCTAATACCTTTTATGACACTGTGTGAGAAGAAACAATAAGAATACATATATGAAATGTGGGACTTAGTAAACACTTTGAACTGACTCACCTGGTTTATTCTTCAATCGTGAGGCCTATAGGACAACTAAATAAAAGGACTATTCACTCCGGTTTAATAAAACAAATTTATTTTGACAATTGATAATAAATGAATATATATAAGTGAACGGTCGGCTTGATAATCTTGGTCTTCAATGTAGTAAGCCTCTCTTCCCAAATGATGTCTTCTTGTGTTGGTTTCCAGGCCTAAAGTGTTTGGCGTCGTCCTCGCCATCTGTTGCCAGCTACCTGATCGGACTTTTTCTTCTTTTCGATTGTTTATCGATGTGAGATTTTCCAATAAGCAATTTGTCCACTGCACAATTAGAGTACAATTCACAGTGCAATCTCACATTCCTATATATTGTATATACCTTCTCATTTCCTCACACATTGTCATCTAAAGGAATAAATACAGGGGGATGTCTACTACATAAGAGACGAGTTGAGAACACAACCTTTGCATCAGGTGATCCACTGCCTTCTTTTTTTTTTTTTTGTTTATTTCAAAAGGTACAAATATTTAATACATAATTTTGATAAATGAAAGCACATCTATTCTATGAGGGATACTCCAAAAATGAGGAATGGTGTTCAATATTTAACTCATGGTAGGCCTGAATAAAATTCCCCTCTTTCTACCAATAAAATGAACCCCTATCTACCAACTCTTTAAAAAACTACTGCAGTAGTGGTTTGATTCAGTAGTTGTTTATCAGCCAGTAAGAACAGATCGCAATGACCAAGACAATTGTATATTCTACCAGTTGTGAGGTGTGATTAGATTATAGTTGGCAAAGAGACTTCTGCTGCTGAAATCCTTCATGAGTTATGCCTGGTGTATGGACCTGAAATAATTATTTGCTAGTTGAAAAATGGTGCTGAGAATTTCGAAATGACCACACGAATGTGCGTAATGAACAGCAGAGTGAAAGGCCCAGTATTTGGACTGAAGGCAACGGTGATGAGCTCAATATTGCCGTTACCAAGTGGTTCGATTTCCAGAGTGCAGACTTTTCTGCAAAGGGGTTAAAGAAGTTGGTGCAGTATTATAAAAAGTGTATAGTTGTGAATGGGGATTGCATGGGAAAGTAAAGTAGTTATTAAGTAAAATAATAATATTAATGAATGGATTATAGAACCCAAAGGCTTGATGCCGATATCACCAATCAGTGTCCACTCACTTCCCTCCACCAGCTGTCGTCTATATCCAAACCAATATCAGCCTTAATGCAATTCTCCCATCTACCCCTCGGACGGATGTTCTCTAGTCAGCACAGCTCAAATAAACCTTCTAGGAATTCTTTTTGTTACCAAGCCAAGCACTTTGCATGTCAATTTTTTTTTTCCCAAATTTGCATGTCCGATTTCAAGGATAAAAAGAAGAAAAAAAATAACACAGTTTTTCCTTTAAAAATCCAAATTTCTCTAATGTAATCATCGTTTCTCAATAATTTTCATCGTTTTTAGTATTTAAAATAAATTTTCTATTAGATAGCAATCTCTTTGCTGGAAAATATAGTTTCATGAAGCTATCATAGTTTTTTATGCATTAAATTGGTACCGTTCTATTATCTAACATTAAATTTTTGGGAATTCTTTATATGTGTATTTTATTCAAGCTTTTAATTTCAGGAGGCTTTCATCGAAGAATGTAAATGGAGTGCTCACGAAGAAGCATTAACATTATGTAATAATCAACATTTAAACCAGACTGTCTATTTCCTACATAGAGATCTCACTTTTATGAAGGAGGTAATCTATTAATATTTGTTTATCAATTGATTATCATTTTGAAATGTGACTGACCTTATCTGGATCCACCATACTTTTTTACCTTAATTTTCTTGTAGGTTCTTTTGTATTCAGACTTTTTTCTAATAATGAAAAGTTTTTTTTTTTAAACATATCATGTTTTTATTTGTAACATATTATGTAATATTGCTTTAAATTTTTTATGTTCTAAGGTTCATGCTCACATCTACAGTTCTAGTATGTTATCTACATTAAATACTATTTAAGAGTGGTCATGATCTGCCCCTTATATCGAGCAGACCGGAAAGAATCTAGATTTTTTTGCACTTTGTTACCGCAAATCACTTTTGAATAAAAACATATGATTTCTTTTTTACTGTTTAAATACTTTTTAATAACTGTCATTATGTAGTTATAACCTCATTTTCAAATTATGACATCTCTACTATCAATTCTTCTCCCCCATTAACCGTTGTCTCTGCAATAATCTCATTTGCACATATCTCTCATAACATATTCTTCCAATCCGTAATAGTGCTTGAGCTTATATATCATTCTTTTCTACAGAACTTTATGGAAGTTAAACACAGCCAATGAATAAATAAACAATAAACACACCAGAACATACACAATATATAACCGTATTCGTATCAGTTAAAAATAACTTAAACCAATATCATATGTTTTATAGCAAAGTTATTTGCGGTAGCAAAGTAAAAAACACTCGCAATTTAAAAAACTGCATTAAGGACATCTCTTTGGGTCAAGCCATACATCTCACTTTAAGAACCATTTTGAAAATTGTTTATACCCTCATAAAAATAGTACCGTAAAACTCTTACACGCTTAAAGAGAAAAGAATGGATTCTCATGAAATACTAGAAATAAAGAAAAAAAAAGCAATGAAAAATAATATGTTATGACTGAATGTCTATAATATTCAATTTGAGGATTCTCCCCTTATTAAATTAGTTAGTAGTGACTAATGAAAACAAGACGTTTGGGGTGGGTAAAGCCCATCTAGACAATAGTTATATTTTTATTTTCAGTTCTTAACTAGCATGAGAGAAGGACTGTCGTAAATTAGGTGCTAATTAGTTTTTATTTAATGTATCTAATTGTTAAGTTTTTATTCATTCTATAGATTGCTTTGGAAATTTTGGTTTTTATTGTTGTAGTTAATTTTTATATTTTATTTACTGTGATATGAGGGACCAAAACTGGTAGCAAGAAAGAATAAACAATGTAGGAGCATAATGAGGAATCTTTTTATTGAATTTTATTTTACTCCCGTAATATCAAGCCTCAATTCAAGAAAAAAAAATAAACTTCAATGATAAGGAACTTATTACCTACGCCTATAAAACAGAAACCTCCCAAACAAACAAAAATTAAGAGAAACTTATTTTGTTTAATTAGTCAATTCCTCAATATAATATTTTTTGTGCTTCATTATCGTGAGAGGAAAACTTGCAAGTTCTATGAAGTATACTCTCCTGTCTGATAGATCATTAAATTTATAAATTTATTGGTATGGAATTTCCACACATTTTTTTTAGGGTAGGTATAAGTCTATTCCTTTGAAATATTTCATGGAAAATCATACTCAGTAAATCTTTAATTGAATTTTTTTTTAAACTTATTTCTATTCCTGTCATAAGTGATGACAATTCGTGAGTCTTAAAAAAATTCAAGTTTTCAATGTTGAAAGTCTTGTGGATTCCGCAGTGCTTCAAAAACCATTGAAATTTCCGTCTACTTTTTATCTATACTAAATCAATCAATAACAATCTTAAATAGCATAAAATTATCCTATAAAAGCAGTACTAAATTTTGTGTACTTTAATATTTAATTTAAGTCCTGGGCATGACTTTAAACTGCAGCCTGGGGGGACCTACCTCATAGCCGTAGTGAATGAAGTGTAGGAGAAGGCAACTCCGAAATCAAACCAAGGGTAGGTTGGACTCTTCAGCTGTGGTGAAAGCAACTAGCCCTGAGGAGGAAAACCCTGAAGACAAATGACCCGGTCCTCCAGGTTGGGGGTTGAGCGTGGGGCCAACTACCCCTCCTCGGAAAACAATTAATGTTCAGAAAATTGAGTTAAAATGAAAGTCGGATGTTTCTAATGGTAAAAGACCTAACGCTCTCAACGGACTAAACTAAAATTGAAGCAATATGAAGCTTCATTAGCCACATGGAACGTAAATGCAATGTTAAGACCGGGCAAAGTGAAAGAAATTGCCGACCAGCTCATACATAAAGCATAATATAGATATTGCGACACTGCAGGAAATAAGATGGAGTGGAAGTGGAAGCATTGGTAAAAAGGAGTTCTCCATATTATATAGTGGTCCGGATAAGAAACCTGGTCAAGCAGGAACAGGATTCTTTGTGAATAGTAAATTGAGACATTCTATTCTTAATTTTGACCCAATATCTGACCGGTATAAACTAAGGTCAAAGTAGGTATAGAAATATTTCGCATATGCCCAACGAGATGTGACGATACATAAAGAAAAATTTTATGATGTTCTGGAAAGCAACATTGAAAAAGTGCCCAAATACGATGCAATTCTACTATTAGGAGACCTCAATACCAAAATTGGGAAAGAAGAGAATCTAAAAGAAGTCGCTGGAAGACACTCATTGCATGAAGTAACGAGTGAGAATGGTCTGTTACTGGCCCAATGTGTAGAAATGTACAGATTGTGTATAAAAAGCACATGTTTTCCACATAAAAAGATACATAAAGGTACTTGGAATGCACCTGGAAGAGATGTTGTGAATCAAATAGATCACACCATGATGTCAACTAGACATACATCATAATCATAGATGTGAGAAGTATGAGAGGTCCTAACTGCGATTTAGACTACTTTTTATTTAGAGCTAAGTTAAGGAAAAAGATAGCAAAGGTGGCAAGAGCGGAAACAATCAAACGAACAAAATGGGACATAGAAAAATTAAAAGGGGAGAAATTTTCAAGAGGTTATGGATAGAGAGATGGAGAGAGGGGAGTTAGAGGAAAACAAGCCGGAGGAGGAGAGTAGGCCAATTTAGAAGAAATGGAAAGTTGTGAAGGAGGCTATAAGCAAGCCAGCAGAATGGACAGAAATTACAAATGGAAGAAATGAAGAATGTGCGAAAGTCATTGAAGAGAAAAATCAAGCCAGACAGAGGATCTTACAGAGGTTCACAAGGTAAAACCAGGAGACCTACAGTATGAAAAGAAGAGCAGCTAAGAAAGTATATAGAGAGGAAAAAAGAAAAATGATTTGTAAAAGGCTTGAAAATATAGAAATGTTGAACAATGTGCATGAAAGTAGGAAATTTTATAAGGAAATTAATTGGTTCAGGAAAGAGTATCAGCCGAATCTGAATAATTGTAAAAGTAAAACAGGAGAGGTTTTGGATGGAGACGGAGAGGTGATGAACAGTTGGACCGAACACTTCTCAGAGTAGCTGAACATTGGCCTGGAGATAGAGGATGTTGAGAGTGGAGAAGAATGTCGTGTGGCAACCACAACCGCTAGTTGATGAGCATGACAGAGAGGATATCGAGTTTACCATCATGGACTTGAAGAATTGTAAAGCTCCCGGTGAGGACAGGATAGTTGCTGAATTGATTAAATGCTGCAGTGGTAAAATGAAGGCCTTAATATATGCGTTGATCTGTGACATATGGAGATAGGAAAAGATGCCGGATGACTGGAGGATTGGATTAATATGTCCTATTCTTAAAAAAGGCAGCAAGGATCAGTGCACAAATTATAGAGGAATAACCCTATTGGGAGTCCTGTATAAACTCCTTTCTAGTTTAATATTGAAAAGGCTGCAAAAATATGCTGAGGAAATTTTAGATGATTGCCAGTGTGGTTTTAGAGCTGGCAGTACTACAGATCAAATTTTTGTCTTAAGACAAATGATGAAAAAATGCTACGAGTATGACATTGATCTGCACTTGTTATTCGTTGACTACAAGCAGGCATTTGATAGCAGCAAGTGGAGTGCCACATAAACTAATTAATTTAATACGCATGACCATGGAAAATGCATCATCCAAAGTTATTATTGGAAATAAAGTTGGTCGATGGTTCGAGCTACAGTCTGGAGTGCGTTAAGGAGACTAATGCGACGAAAATTATCCCCAAAGATCCCTTATCAGCAATACTATTCAACAGAGCTCTGCATGCTGCTGTGAAAGATGCAGCTAAAAAAGGCACCATCGTTGGTAAGACCTGGCAAATTTGTGCTTACGCTGATGACCTGGTGATAGCTGCATGACGTGAAAAGGTGCTTAAAGAGGCATTTGAGATTGTATACGAAAATGGCAACAAATATTCAAAAATTACAGGAGGATATAAACGGAATTTATGCCTGGGCAAAACTCAATAGGATAACCTTAAATACATTATTAAACTATAAAATTTTTGGATTCGATAATACATTTAAATAATTACATATACATCTTATAAACATTTTTAAGCACCTACTCCTTTCCCAGGGGAAACTTATAAGAAACGAATTAGAACATGGGTTTAAGGATTCAGAAGACCAATGTGGATTTACAGCCGGAAGATCGTTCATTAACCATATATTTATCCTGAGGCAATTGTTGGAGAAACATCAAGCCGTTTCCAGAGACATTGAACTAATATTTATAGACTTGGAGAAAGCATATCGCAGTGTCCCTTGAAGACTATTATGGCAAGCCCTCTAAAATGCAAACATTAATATAGGTGTGATAGATATAATAAAGGAAATGTACAAAGGAAACACCTGCGATGTCAAAATTAGACCATACCTTTCACAGCCATTCCCAGCAAGCAAAGGATTGCTCCAGGGGTGTTGTGCCTCTCCTTCTCTATTCTAGATTTATCTTGACATCTGTTTGTTTGAATGCATGGAGAATAAAATGTGAACCCACGGAAATTCAATTGAAAGAAAAGTTGTTCCTTTATAACCTATCCTTCACAGATGACCAGGTCATCAGGATGCCGAAGATGCTGGATATATGTTAAGAAAATTAAATGAGAAATACTAGTAGTGGGGACTAGTTATTAATGCAGAGAAAACGGAACACATGGCATTCAGTAATGAGGATAGAGAACTGAATCTAGGAGAGGTTCTAAAAAGAATTAAACATTTTAAATATCTTGGTTCCATAATTGAAATAGATGGTGCATGTTATCAAAGTTAAGCAACGTCGAGCGTGGTTAGTACTTGGATGGGTAACCGCCCGATTTGGGAGACTGTCCACTAGGGAAAGCCATGCTGCCCGAGTCTCTCCCCCTCCCCCAACGGGTATGTGAGACCCGTCAGCCTACTGGAGGCAACTCACACCAACCGAACGTAGGACTGATGACCCTACCCCGTGTACTTAATCGGAAATCGGGATGTGGTCTACCAGGATGATAGTAGTCCCCCTGAGGTTCGGTCCATGGACAGTCTGTTTCAGGAAAAGAAATATAGGTCCTCGTGCGCCTGCTGACTCCGGACAGTCATAATCCATGGATCTAGACCGATTTGTCACTGTCCTTGCACCCAAGTGAGTCGGTGGGATTGGCCCCAAATGGATCGGCTATGGAGCTATGGGTGACCTGCCGCTGCACCATGGAGATCATGGTTTGTAGCAACGTGAGGTTGGGTGACCCCCTCCAGGCTATCTGAGCATCATACGTCTGTAAGGAGGCCACATCTCGCAGCTAAAGATCTTCATGGTCTTTAGTGCCAACCGAAAAAAAAATATATATATATATATATATATATCCCTTAAAATCCTTCAGTTCCTCGTTTCCTCTCACTTCGATTATGGCTGCCTTGTATAAGGTGGACTTCAGATCAGATTAAAGAGGCTAATGAATTGTTTCATCAGATTTATACTTGGAATCCCCAGGCGCTCCCACGTCTCCAGTTGCTATGCCAAGTTGAAGTGGCTCCATCCAGTTTTCCGACGGCAATATTTCTTAGGTGTATTCCTTTTCCAAACCTTTACAGCCAAAAAACCTTCTTACCTTCTTGATTTCTTTACTCCTTGTTCCTCTGTTCATTTGTTCAACATGAGATCCCAATCCTCAAATTTGTTTATTCCTTCTCATAGAACTGTTTCTTTTAAAAAATCCTTTGTCATACATGCTATCTCGTTTTGGAACTCCCTACCAACCTTTTTACAGAAATCCTCATCCTTGACCTCATTTAAACATAATTTATTTTTCCATCTCGTCAGTAATCAATCTTCCGATTATAAGTAAAATAAAGTTATTTTGTACTTTAGAGATGTCAGTAACACTATACCGATATCTTGCAGATATCAATGTATGTGTCATATTGCTTATTACGTGAACTCACCCTTATGTAATCATCTTTAAAGTCACATGTCTACTTCAAGATCATATCTCTCTCTCTCTCTCTCTCTCTCCTCTCTCTCTCTCTCTCTCTCTCATCTCTCTCTCTCATCTCTCTCTCTCTCTCTCTCTCTCTCTCATCTCTCTCTCTCTCTCTCTCTCTCTCTCTCTCTCTCCTCTCTCTCTCTCTCTCTCTCTCTCCCCCTCTCTCTCCCTCTCTTCCTCCCTCCCTCCCTTCCTTTATATATATATATATATATATATATATATATATATTGTAACATATTTTATTAGGGCCTTTTAAAATTTTCTATATACTCTGTTCCTTTGTTGCACTGAATTCATTTGTCTTCTAACAGTTTTTTATGTTCTGCCAAACACACCTTCCAAAATGGTGACACTTTCATCTACTCAATCCAAGCTCCCTGGGAGATCCTCTCTCTTGTAATTCCAAAACTATTCTCTCTGCCAAACAACAACTTCCAAAGAGTATAGTTTAAAAGTTTATTTCTAGGAGCTGCTAGGAGAGGATCAGAAGTTGGTGCAGTTTGGATGAGATTAGGGAGATGGAGGTTTATTCTGGTGAAGACGATTTTATCAGCAAGGAACAATTAGTCTGGATGTGCTGTCAAAAAATTATAAATTATATTAATAAATTATGTTTTATAAGCTTAGGAAAATTTAATAAACATATTTATACTGCACATCCTCGCCATTTTTATTTTCTTTCATATATAACATCTGAGACAGGACTATATTAACATTTATTGTTAATATGGTCTTATAGTTATTATTACGTTGACCTCCGTGCAACAGGTATTGAGAACTGTAAACAAATATTAATTCCAAAGGATCTCAAGTCAATGGTGGCAGCTATCCTATCGTTTGTTAATTATTGATGTAGTGGAGCAAATGCACAAAATTACCCTGGAACTTCCAAAATTACTTACAATTTGAAATAGTTCTGTATATTTCTATCCTCTAAAAAAATGTAAAAGCATTTAAGTAGAAATAAAGGAAGATTTTATAACAATTGAGTGAAAACTGAAATTATTAGTTTGTCAAATTCAGCCTTTTTTGAACACATTTTTTAATATTTCAATTAGGCTCATGAACTAATTAGCTTCTCGAGATTTCTAAATTGTATTCACTGAATGTTTAAGCATACAAAAATTATTTTTGAATAAATATTGAAAATTAAAATATTAAAACATTTACAGTATTTCTGATTGTGTATAAGGACAATACAGTTAGCAGAACCTTGTCACTATTAAAGAATATCCAGATATAGTGATATTAGTCTATCAGTGTTTGGCTAGCCATAAAAAATGTTAGGGAACACCTGTAATAAGGTGGATTAAATTGACAGTACTACTGATTTCATAATATCATTCACATAATTAGGTCAGTATCCTGAGTTTGTGTCTTTTGGTTTGACATTATTGCAGAAATTCCATGTCCTCAAAATATCTTCCAGTAGTGAGGCTCCTTTTATTTTCATATTTATCCTTTTTAAAATTTATTTAATAGTATTGTGAATAAACTCTACAAAAACAATTATATTTTATATTTTAGAGGGAACCGGTATTGAAAAAAGAGCTTTGTAATGACAAGACACCTACTCGAGTATTTTATTGGCGCACTCACATATGGTTTCCTGGTAACTGGATAGTGCGTCGTAGCTTTCAAGGCCATTCAGAAATCATTCCTACAGTTCTTAGCTCAACAGCCACATCTATTACTACTCCCCGTTCAGATCCTAGTCAGGTATCATTAAATTGTAGAATAAGTTATTTGCTTATTTTAAATATTGTTGGATTTGATGTTTGTTTAATGTTAAGATAAGGACAATATTTGCAATATTGTGCAAAATTTTCAGGGCTAGAAAATTCAAGTAATTTAATAGTTTCCTGAACAATTATTTATTTTCCGGACATTAGTCTGTTATCTAAAATGGTGATTCTTTTAAACTAGCGGTTCCATACAAAATACTTTACAAGAATTTATTTTATTTCTCAATCTAAGCTTTCGTGAAGATAAATAAGACTTCTGAAAACTAATTGGAGCCAAGAAGCATATTTTAAAAAAAATGAAATTAAAATTCATTGTTTATTTTTATCTGATATAACCTTATATAAATGTTTTTTAAAAAAGCATAAGCAGCTCCATCAGTGAGATCCTAATTGTCTCTTATACTTTATTGAAAAGAAAAAGAGATTAAATTGTTTCATTAGTGCTAAAAAATAAATAGAAGCATTTCAAATTATCACACAATAGTTTATTTTTTTCCAAAAGTTATAAATCAAATATGTATGGTGTAATCCCCCCACACACAATTTACTACATAACAGAAAATTTGTTCGCTAACATTGGGCCCTTTTTAAGATAAGGACCATTGCTCGCTTAATATATATTTTTCTTATAAAGCTATGAAGGTAATTAGTATAATTGTCAAGCGAGCATTAGGAATCTACTGGTAGATTTATAGTTTTGAGCTATAAAAAAACAGAAGAAAGAAGATGGAAATGTGTCTACAAAATTCAAAATGGCATATCTCGGCACCGAATGGTCTAATTTCAATGAATTTTTTTGTTTTGTCAGAAGTAATCTTATAAATACATTATTAATCAACAAAAATGTTTACTTCATCAGTTTTTATAAGTTATTCACTATTAAAATTTTGTGTCAATCAAAACTTTTTTCTCACTCATTTTTCAGTAAAGTATTTGAAATACATAAATTTATAGGGTTTAAGGAGAAGACTTTAGGAAAGTTTTATCAAAATCTCTTCTTTCGTTTTAGTGCTACTAAAAACTTTTTTTTCATGCCCATCTTGAAATGTAATGGTGCCTGGCAATGAAACTTCCAAAAGGCCTACTCCAACACTAAAAGTAATATAAATACGAAATTTCAACATTCCAACTTTATTAGGAGGAGCTGTAGATAGTAGATAGATATGCAATACTTCAAAAACAGGGAGAAAGCATCCATTTTAGACATATTAATAGATAAGTATTAATATCAAGAGAAAATCTTGCTTGTTTCATTATAATGTTAATTAAAATATTAGTTTTTCTGTTGTTGGAAATTTACAAAAGCTTTTTAAAATAATGTTTTAAATGTGAGAGATTATTAAAATATCAAGTGAAAATTAAAAATGATAAATTGAAGGAAAGGATGGTTCGGGTGATCCGTCAGAATAAAAATAGTAAAAATAAATAATTATATTTATTTTTATATTTGCTGAAGTTCAGGCCTTCATCAGGGCTATTCAATCCGACAAGCGTGGACAGAACGAAACGTCCGCAAATATAAAAATAAATATAATTATTTATTTTTACTATTTTTATTTTGACCGATCAACCCTACCATCCTTCTCTTCAATTATTCACTACAGTCAGCCATCAACCCACAATTAAAAATGATAAACTTTAATGATGGAGATTTTAAGCAAAAGGATTCAGTCAATATATTTGCAAAGTCCAATACAAAAAATCTTTTTTGGAATTTTTGCTAATATTGGTTCCAATGAGTAAATTTTTTTTGGACAATTTAATTATCCTCTAAATGAGAATTTGAAATGTCTTGAGAGAGACAATGTGTCACAATTTTTCCATCGCAGGTTGTTTAACGTGTTACAATTTTCATTTAAATTTCATAATTTTTTAAATGATCCTTTTCCTAATTTACTATTAATGTACACTTTTTAAGTTATATGCAAATAAATTTCTTTTTGCCAAAAGTTGTTATTATTGAAAAACAAAAAAATTAAAGACTTCCAGTTTAATATTTTAGACCTCTCCAGTTAGTTATACATTTATGCACTACAGTTATAAGATGGACTATTAAAGTGGATACACTCGCATAAGGGGCTATCACAAAGACCCTATTGCACATAGTGTGCCCAATTTGGTTATGGGCATCAGGGACAGAAACCCTACTGAAGAAAGGAAATGAGTACAGGATCATTTAAAAATTTATGAAATTATACACATTCTTAATGAAAATTCATCACAATCCAACCAAAATTAGGAAATTCGTTGTGGATTATTCAAATAGTTAGTGTCAAGAATAAATTGGAGCAATATTTATCTATTAGAAAATTAAAATGATTAATGTTGAATTAAAATGATTAAATTAGAGGAATGTTACCTACCATACTTACGTAGAAAATCTATAGAGGAGTAATCAAAATTTCATCATTTATTACCGATTACACCATTTCCTCATTTTCGCCTACCTCGATATAGGTTGGAACAGTAAGTGACAGATCATTTGTTAACGAGATATAAGAGGAAAAACGAAAGAAAATTCGGCAAATTGTTTACACTATTTTCTCATTTTCGCCTACCTCTACATAGCCGGAATATTGTTGGAACGGTGGAAAACCGATCCTTCATTGGTGAGATAAAATAGGAAAAGTGAAAGAAAATTCGGAAAATTTTCCACACCATTTTTCCATTTTCGTCTACCTCTACATAGCTGGAAAACTGTTGGAACGGTAAAAAACCAAGCTCCATTCACCAGATAAAAGAGGAGATGTGAATGAAAATGTGTACCACTCCTGTTTTAATTGGCCTGACTTTAAACAGTTATAAAATTGTTAGAACGGTGAAAATTCGAGCATCCATTCATGAGATAAAAGAGGAAAAGCATTTGAAAATCCGAAAAATTTGTACCATTCCTGTTTCCACTGGCCTATCTCTAAACAGTTATAATATTGTTAATTATGAAATTAATGGAAATTTGGGAATGTAATTGTGCAATTATAAATCCTACCGTATTTCCTTACAGAGCGGCACCGAAAACATATTAGTTAGGGAATCTAAAAATTATCAGAAACTTGATGCACAATCTCAAATCCGATAGTATTTTCATAAAAAGTGCCCCATAATTGCGGACCCTTAAATCGAATAAGTTATAAAAACAAACAAACAAAAAAGTTATAAAAAAATTATTCGAATAATATTTTTATCTTAAATAATGTATATTAGATAATGCAGGTTATCTGTAAATAATGAATAACAAATAATTATCGATCCAAAGATCATCGAAATAAGAATAACAAATAAAAATTTATGTATTATTCATTATCTAGTTTAAATTGGAATAACGCCCAACACTGGTATATTGGAAAATGTTAAACATGAATTGATGAATGAATTAGAAATAAGATACATGATGTCGCCATGGTAAGAGCATATTTTTCTAATGGACAGGCAGAGCCTGTCGTCATGTCGCAGCATTTACTGATCCAATGTAACCGCAGCCTTATTCAAGCTTTGCACTTAATTCACTATGAAGATTCATGTATAATAGAGTTTTAAAAAATAAAGTTGGTTTTTAAGAGTATAATAAGAAATCTCTATTTCTCTCTATGCCAATTAATACTCATGCATTATTGACAGATTTATTTTCTATGTTTGAAATTAATTTGTATTTGATTGTTTTCACTATACAATTTTACATATAATGTTTATTTTGTTTAGCCTGTATTTTTAGTAGAAAAGGAGATTGTTAGAACAACAACTACTCGTTGGCCACTTTGGAGGTGGATTAACTACTGTCATCGTACGTGGAGCTGGACCTGGAATGCTATGTTTTTCTTTGGAGTATGTATGTTTCTATTCTATTAAAGTATTTTTGTATCATGTATGGGGAAAAAAGTAATTTTGTGCTAGATATATAGTTGGCACCATGTTAAAGTAATAGATGTTGGATTGGCAATGAATGAATGAATAGATGAAAATAAATTTTATTATTCTGGGACTGTTGTCTCTTTAGAACAAATTATAAGTACTGAATACATGCATAAGTGGTCATAAATAGAGTAAATATTTACAATATTGGTTATTTACAGTGGGGTCAATGGCTGATCTCAGTTAAAGACATTTGGAGGGCATTGATTTATATAATTATATGACATATGTATGTAGGAGTATTGTTGTAAAAAGTTAGTTTGAAATAGAAAAGTTTTGTTGTGTGATTGGAAATTCACTTTAACTATATTTAACATTAATGAATGTTAACCTCTCCAACGTTGTATATTCATTACTTTGACATGGTGCCGATGACATTTCAGTTAACTGTAATAATGTTTATAGATATACATTATCACATTTATATATATATATATATATATATATATATATATATATATATATATATATATATATTGTAACATCTCTCTTTTATTTTACAAATAATAATTATAATAATATAACCTCAAAAGCTCACCTATTACTATTGGGATACTTCCTAAATAAATAAGAGGTTGTTTTAATAATAAACAAAATTATAAGAGAATTAATATATTCATTTATCTCAGGTGTGGGTTACTGACAGTCATATCAAAACAATCAGACAAACTAAAATTCACTACACTAAACACTGTTTGAATTTAAAATAAAGTCAAATATGGATTGGCAAGCTAATCTTTTTTCTATATACACTGTTTCTTCCTTTGTTGCACTAAATTCATTTGTCTTCTAACATTTTTCTATGTTATGCCAAACACATCTTCCTGAATGGTGATACTTTCTTCTATTCAACTTAAGCTCCCTGGGAGATACTCTCTCTTGTACTTCCAAAGAACTCGTCTCTCTGCCAAACAACTTTCAAGATCGTAATACTATTACTGTTTTTTTCTCACTGGAACCAGGATCACTTCTGCTATCCTCTCTTCACTGCAGTCACACAACTGCTTGCCAAAACAAAAACCTTTCTCCCTCTCCTCTTTGGGATTTTCCTTCTTGGGAAACTACAGAAAATCCATTTTCTTTTCCCTGCACTAGTAGAACTAGATTAGCTTGCCCTTTAATTTTTTAACATTAATTTATCAGAACCTTTTTACTCACTTCCAATAAAGGTGCACATTACAATATACATATATATATATATATATATATATATATATATATATATATATATATATAGTATTTTAATATATATATAAATATTTATATAATATTTTATGTTTTTAAATGAGGATAGATAATAATTTTTAATACACATATCCGTATGGATTTTTATCCTCTAAAACCACCTCCCTATACTTGTTTTTCCGTCCCTCCATGTGACTACTGTTAGTCATTACTTAATGGAGAGGTTGTGGCTGTGTGCCACCTCAGGCTACCTCCTGTCTTGCATTTCCTTCTCACTCCTCACTCTTTTGATGACCTATGCTGCTAGGCATTGTCTTGCCATCCAGCACTCCTAGGAGAATAGCATCAGTCAGACAATGTTGTCTGCCGTTGGTTCTGATTTGCATACCTCTCTAAACTCTTCCTGAAAAAGTGTGCAGAAGAAAAAAATGTGTTCTGCCCTCTCTTCTATTGATTTGCACACTGGGCGTTCTGCTGTAATGTACAGCTTAAACCTATACTGGTAGCTGGAAAGCACCCATATCCTGTAAGGAGCTGGGTGAGATAGTAGTTGACCTCTTCATACTTCCTGTTGACTCAGGGTAGAATACAGGGTCTAGCCTATATTTTCACGTCCCGTTAAATGCCATATCTCAGCATTGTTGCCATGGCAAGAGATGCTATGTTCCATTTTCACAGCGTTTCCTTTCTATCTTCGGCCCTGGAAACGCGATCAACTCTATCATATGAACGCTTCTTCTCTTCTGTAATCAGCTCTATTGGTTGCATCTAGGCCACCACACATGCTGCTGTCTTAAAATTTTATTTTGGAACATCAAAGATTTTAGCATTCTTAAAAACCTTATATATTGTTGAAATCTACTGCCTAATTGAAACTTAGAAACATTAACAAACCTTTTAATTTTAAAAAATTACCCTACAAACATGCCTCACAAGAAAAACTAAGTGGAGGGTTCATAATCTCTTTCAGGGATGGTGTTGAAATTACGTTTAAAAAGATCATTTTCTGTGTATTTGCTTGGAATATTGATCCTTAAATTGCTGATTAGAAATATTTACTGCAAACGATGAAATAATAATGATTATATGGTTATAATAATGATTATATTTTATTAATTAAAATTGTTTTTATATATTTGCACCCACATATCTGTACCCAAGAGGTAAAAAACATCATGTCCATTTTGGTATTTATTCAGGGGAGCTAATTTTCCATATTTTTGAGCCATTATAATCTGTTTCTTAGTTACTAAATTATTTAATTAAAATAATGGATGGGACATGGTGTTCTTTACTTCCGGAACACATATATAAAAGTTAAAGTAATGAAAACTTCCATCACATTTTTACCTATGTTTTGAAGTCCCCTGAGTCCATATAATCAAATCCTGCAAAATGGTGTGTGTTTGTGAACAGCCTAGCTTAAAAAATGAAAAAATAGTATATTTGAGGTTTTTTTTTCCTTGGATGTTACAGCTACATTTTCACCAAAATTGGCAAACTGGAAGTGGTACTTTATATAATCGATTTAACAAATTTTTACGATTTTCTCAAAAACTGCTTTAACAATTTGGATTGAACTCAGTATATCAATGTGTTATTAAAAACTTTTTAATATAATGTAGGTTTTATTCTCATTGATGTTTTCTAACAGGGCTTAAATTGCTAATTTTCAATATCAGCTTCCTCTAAAGTACCCTTTGATGTTTTTTATTTGAAACAATTAACCATTTCATATTGATCTCTAATATAAAATATGAAAGAATTTGACAATTATCTAAAGGAGAAATAAGAGGTCGTAAAGGAGAATAATTGTAATGAAGGAACCAAAGGGTAGCAAGAACGCACCCGAGCTCACATGAAGATTAGAGCAAGCTTCCATAGTAACATGAGCTTAATATAATACGGACTCTGACAATATTATGCACATATACATATGCGGTTTTCCTAAAGGTTTTCATTGGTATTATTTAATTGTATAGAATACAGTGATATAAAAATCAAAATTTGTCTATATAAGGATAATTAAACAAATAAAAATACCCACAGTGAAACGTAAATAAATATAGTGTCGATTATTTTTACTTTCACTTCCCCTTTTCTGAAAATAATTATTCCTGCTAAGAAGAGAGAAGTAAGTGAAAGTCGTGTGATGCGTGCACCACATTTTTCTTAATGTTATCTTGTTTTCAATCCTCAAATGTTTGGCTTGATATTTTGAATTTATTTTTTTCCTTCCTTGCCACCGAAGGTAGGGAAGCAAGCTGTTAAAAAAAAAATTGTGCTCAGAATTTATGAAATTTTCAGAGATTGTTCAAGTTGGTGTCTAGATAGTCCCATATAAATTTTATCAAATTCCATCCAGCACTTCCGCTTATGAATGTGGAAACATATTTTTTTAGGTATGCCAATATTTCAGAAAAGGCTCATTCGATTTGGCTAAAAGTTGAATAATAGGTAGGTATTGGTAAAAAAATTATGTAGTGTCAATTTATTGAATTCTGTACATTACTTTCTCTTGTATATGCTATGCGCAAAAGTGATTTCCTTGATACATCTATATCTCCAAAACCACCCCTTCAATTTGGCTTAAATTGGAGGGAAGTTTGGTTTCAAATTTGAAAGTTGGAAGATTCAAAATTTTTAAACTGATAATCAAGTTTATATGAATTTTATCAAATTCTATCCACTACTCCAAAAAAAAAAAAAATACTTCCGCTTTCAAATCAGGAAATTCATTATTTGACACGCCTATAGTTTGAAAACTGCACATTCGAATTGAACCAAACTTCAAGGAAGTTTGGAGAATAATATAGAAATTAGGCATTATAAATTTTATTGAAGTTCATACAATAATTACAATTAATATAAATAATTGTTAACAATATAATGGATATGAAATGTTGAAGGAATTTATCATCTGGAGAGGGATTTAGGTTAAGACATTGTTTTTATGGGGTTTATTTATATTATATTTTAAAATTTATATTAATATTATAAAATTTTAGGTTTTATTTAAAAAGTTAATTTATAATGTAGTATTTGGTCGACTCCAAACGTTACTGGCATGGTACTTACTGCCGTTACTTTGATTTCGTGAAATTTTGAGTACATTTAAATTAATTATTAGATTGGTGTAATTAATTATTATTAATTAAATAGTTTGGTGGTATGATGTGAAAAAAGGGATCCGAGACAAAATGAAAGCTTGGAAAAATTACTTCAGCCCGAGAACCCCAACTGCTTATAATATAATATATAACATACAAAAATCGGAGAAGTGAAGCCAAATAAAGAGTAATTCAGGAGAAGAGAAGATCCTGGGAGCATTTTGGTCAGAAGCTGGAAGAAAATGCAAAGGAAAACCAGAAAGTCTTTTACAGAGTGCTCAAAGGAATGAGGAAGGACCAGCCATCTACGCTGAAAGGAATAAAGGATAAAAACGGGAATGTTTGTAATGAGGAGTGTATCATGGAAAGATGGAGAGAATATTTTAAGGACCTGTTAGAGGGGAGAGTCGTTGAGGAGTGCGAAACCCAGACCGGGCAGAAGAACTCCAAGATGCAATCAGAAAGACAAAGCTAGGCAAGGCAGCTGAACTTGATGAAATTACCCCAGAAATGATTAAGTACATGAGCAGTAAAGGCCAAGAGATGTTCCTCCATCTTTTAAATCTGTGCTGGAAGAATAAGATTCTCAGAGACTGGGAAGTAGCGGTGATTGTGACCATCCAAAAAAAGGAGAAAAATTGGGACTGCAGCAACCATAGGGGAATATCCCTTCTCAGTGTGCCTGCAAAAGTCTACTCCAGAATTCTAGAAATAAGAATGAAGAAAATTGCGAAGTAGGAGAAGAACAGTATGGCTCCCGAAATCAGAGAAGCATGCGGGATCTCATCTGCATGATGAGACAAATAACAGAAAAGACTGTTAAGAAAGATATAGAGCTCTCCATCTGCTTCATGGACCTCCAGAAGGCTTTTGACAGAGTGAAGAAAGAAGACATAGAGAGGGCCCTGTCTGAGCGGGGTGTAGACCGTGGAACAACCTTGGCGTTGATGAGTCTCTATAAAAAGAAGAGAAATGTGATCGGAACCAGAAACCACATTTCAAAAGAATTTGAGACTACATTAGGTATCCGACAGGGCTGTAGCCTGAGTCCGTTGCTCTTCATCATGGTTCTGGACTTGGCACTGAGGAGGACCAAGCCTATAATGAGGAAATTCCAGCTAGGGTACAGAAATCAGCACCCTATTAGATATTCCCTGTTGGCCTTCGCTGATGACCTCGTCTTACTAGCTGCCAATGATCGTGTCCTCCAACATAACATAAATTTCCTCCAAGAGGAATTATTCGCAGTAAATATGAAGATTAATCCCGGGAAGACTAAATGCATGAGAATTCGAAAGAAACCCCGAAGGATAATGAGGGTACTAAGAGTTGGAGGACAGAGATTAGAGCAGGTCGAGAGCTTTAAATATCTGAGAGCTCATCTCTATGAGAGCGGCTACATAGACAATCAAGTGGCCCAAATAATTGGAGTGGCAGGGAGGATGTTCAGTATGGTCAGGCGGGGCTTCCTGGGAAGAAGAGAGGTATCAAAGCGGACCAAACTAGCCGTCTTTAAATCGACATTCCTCCCTATCCTGTCGTACTCTTCAGAATCGTGGACCCTCGCCACAAAACACAAAATTCATCCATATACAAGCCATGGAAATGAAGTATCTGCATAAAATTGAAGGAAAAAGACGGAGAGATAGGGTATGGAATGCCACCATACAGGCTAATTTCAATGTCAAACCAGAGACCATTCTGGAGGAGCACAAACTAAGGTGGTTTGGACATCTTCTTAGGATGGATCCAGATAGAAGTGCCAGAAAGACTTGTGAGACCCACACGGAAGGGATTTATTTCACTTAAAATAACATAATTTAATATATAACAACTAATTATAATTAATAACATTAATAACTTGAAATAACATAATAAAATACTTCTGTAATTTATGTTCAAATCTTCTATTAAGAGTAACTTTTTTTAGTCCTTGCCTCTTAGTTTTGGTCTGTTTTTATAGAACTATAAAGACTGGTTGGAGAGGAATAAATAATACCAACGCTAGCATATACAAAAACCATGCATGTACATGTATATAATATTATCAAAGACCATATTATATCAGTCGTCCCGCTTTTTAATATTTTTTTCTGCAGCGTTTTTAAGAAGCCTCGATTTTTGGAAAGTATGCGCAACAAGCTAGAGAACGGGAGGAGGGAGAATGGGAAGAGAATATACTGCTTTCAGCAGCCATCTAGTTATTTCGGCAGGATAGGAGTTTTTTAATATTATTTTTTTTATTTTATAATGTTTTTATTAGTGGTCAAATCTGGATAGACCTCACCCTAGCTTTTCTTGTCAGGTCGAGGAGGATTACTAACTGGTTCTTAAAGTTTGATTCGAGCTGTCGCCAGTCCTGGAGGCACTGAGTCACCAGAGGCAATATGGAGTTAAGAAAGAGTGCGGCACCGGAGATGCCCTAATAGAACTGTGCAAGGATGTGGATGACAGGGCAAAGAAGTATGTCATGATGGTCCTGTTTGAAATATCCCCGCGTTTGATAGTGTATTCCAGGGCTTGATAGTGTATTTCCTGCTTATTCCAGGGCCTCCAGCAGTTTGAGTGATAGGAGAGCTAAGATAAGGGGTACCTTCTATGAAGTCAGCCGCCCCTGTTTTCGACCAATTGCTGGGAGAACTGGAGGTAGCGGGCTTCGTTGATGTTGTATATGTGTATAACTTGGCCATCATAATGGTAGCGAACAACAGGGTGAGATTGGTGGTGAAAGATGAGAGGTGTTCAAGGGGAAGTTCAATGTCTTTCCTCAGATTGAACATCTACGGAATAGGATGACCCTGTCACTGAATGGCCTGATAGGGATGGGTGGCATTTGGGCCTCTGATACCCAGCCATAAGCGTCATCTACAGGGGAGTCGGTATACTGAAGTATGCGTCCCCAACGTGGAGCCAGCGATTGAATCAGACTCAGAAGAGGAAGATGGTCACCATCCAGAGACTCACCCTACTTAGGACGACAAAGGTCTATAGGATGGTGAACAGATTGTGGGTGATAAGCCCGAAAGGATCTACCCTCAGGAAGTTCTTCTCCATCGTCCAGGCAAGATTGGAGGTGACATGGGTCTTCTCTGATTATAAATCTCGCAGGTTCTCACAGAACATGGGGAAAACTGGCTGACCATGGAAAGGATATCGACCCCCTGGTGCCCTTCCTGCTGAGTCCCTGATACAGGAGAACACCTCTTGGTATCCTGCACTGCGATAGAGTGACACCATGTATGATTGATGACAAAAGCAGGCATTTTTTATCCTCACTGTAGCAGACTTCCCCCACCTGATTTGAAGAGGAAAACTACCTGCTCCTTCAGGAGTTTATGGGTGGGAGGATGTGACAGGCCCAACACACTTCTTCCTGGGAACAGCAAGAGTCCCACTACCTGAGGTGTGAGAAAAGTGGGCAGATAGAGGCTAAAGGAACGGACGAATGCGGACAAAGAAGAATAGGAAGCTGGAAACTAGAAAATGGATAAGGCCCGGCCCAGGTAAGGTGCACAACCATGTACGGGCCACACCACAGTTAACCCAGATTAAACAGGGCAAGATTGCCGTACGGGCTAACGCTTGTGCACAGAACTGCCATTGCCTGGCAACCTGATATATGAGAAAGATGACAAAAAATATTCACGAGTTCACAGTACCGGTGCCAGGGAAGTCTTTTAAATCCCCGTCCACATCCCCTGGCCCGGGAAAACACCATATAGCCTTAAAGGCAATGAAGGGTAAGGAGAAAAAAACAGATTAAATGTCCCAAAAATAAACTTTCATTAAAGCTAGTGCAATAAAAATATATATATATCAAATAAAGTGGTGCTTATTGGCAGTAGTGGGCATACGCGAACCTCAACATATTAACCCTCTGCTGCCAAAACTCCGTATGGCAGCAAGGCCAGGTAGAAGGGAAAAAAAATTTAATGTTAAACTTTAATAATAATAATTGTTACTATTCGAGATATGAGTACTGCTTAGCAAAGTTCGCATTGTTGATCAGTTGTTAGAATTCGACCACCATTGTATTGTCTTTATTATAATAAACAACCCAAAAATTATCTATTTAATGAGGTATTGTTATTTTAAAAAAAGTATTGATAAGGAAAAGGTTAAATGTTGGGCATCAGCAAATGGACTCCATTTACTACTTTGATTACCGACATGTTGTCAGTTTGAATAAGTTTTTAGCATTTTGAATAAGAGCTGCTTGATTGTGTACAAATTGCTGACACGAACCATTTGTCCTAAAACTGTGTTATTATTGAAGTTATAAATTAGACGTCAAATACATTATCAAATTATTCGCTCTCAAAAATAATCCTTTAGAACTAAATTCTCAACCTTATTGCAGCTGAATGCTATGTCATCTGATAATCATTTTTTCCTCTCCTTTAAGGAGGCTATACTGGGATTTGCCCGGGCCAGGGGATAGGGCGAAGGATTAATACCCCAGAGTTAAAAGCCTCCTGGAACCGGGCGGCGAACTTGTAATTATTTTATACCTTATAACATATATTATAATCTGGTTCCCGGGCAACATGTGTTTTGCACACGCCTTAGCCCGCTCAGTCACCCTGTCCAAGTTTATTGTGCAAAATTCATTATTGTAACTATTCTTTGGATTTAATGAACCACATTGTTAATCAAGAAGCTCTCCTCCCTCTCCCCACCCCTGGTCAATGGTTTCCTGCTTTACCGATGTCAAAATCTCGTTACACCTTATATTAAGCACATGTTATGTATGGAAGCCTTGAAGTATACAAAACTTAAATATCGTATGACTTTCCATTTTTGTGCTAGACTGTTCACATGATTTTGGAGACTTGGTTATTTTGGTCTCAGGAAACCTCAAAACATGCATTTCCATTGAAAACTCGGATTCGAAAATTTTCATGATTTCAATACTTTCTTTTACTATATATTTCATATAATCGTAAGTGCAAGAAAAAAAATAAATCATAGTTTTAATATATATATCTTGTTTTTTAAACATGGGTTGATTTTTTATTTTTTTATTTCAGGTAGTGATTCCATGGTGTAGTCCTGTTAGTATCCGTGCACTTCTTTGTGTGAATCCTTTTACTCCAGATTTAGAATTGTCGCAAGTGAATGGCACTTTGTTTCCTAGGCAAAGTTCATCAACACCTACCATGCTATCTTCATTGCGTGCTCTTGCAAGGCACATTTCCAAAGCAACGACACAATTTGAATCAAAGCCTGATACTGGTGAGGACGAATTCTTTTGCATCTGTACTTGAACATCAGTATTAGTTTTCAATGAAGTTCCAATGCATTTTATTTATTTTTTAGAAATACCTTCAATTGTTATCTTTATGAGTGTTAGCTCTGTCTTTTCTATTTATTAATTTTTTTCAAGGATTGACCAATCTCAAACTAATCTGAAGATTATTCAAATATATTTTTTCAGTATTTATGTAAAATTGAAACAGCTATTGAAACATATTAATCATTGAGTTCTAATTAACTTTTAAAAGATCATAACATTACATAAAAATAGTTTAAATCATCTTGAATTTTTACTTTCACTTACCAGTATATGTATAGTAAAGTATTGTGATCATGAATATTTTCAACAGAAATGCAAGTTTTGAAGTTCTCTGAGTCTAAATACCGAAGTTCCACAAAATGGTCTCTATGTGTGCGTGCTTGTTTGTGTGTTAACAGACTAGCTAAAAAAAAGAAAAGTTGTACAAAAGTGAAATTGCATATTTAAAGTTTTTATATACCTGGAATGTTACAGCAACTTTTTTGTCACAATCTGCTAACCAGAAGTGGCACTTTACATAATTGATTTTGCATATTTTTACAATTTTCTCAAAAACAGCTCTAACAATTTTCATTAAATTCATTATATCAGTGTAAAATTAAGCAGTTTTTAATGTAATGTAGGATTTTTTTTCCTGCCATAAGAATGTAACGGGGTCTCAAGAAGACTTATTGCGGGTCATCCTAAACTCTATTAAAACAAGCCAAATGCCTTTGCGAACCTGTTAATATTAATAGGATCTATCTATCAGTGATATGATCACATCCAAAGTGAAAGTATCACAGTCTTGCCAAATTATCATATCTACCAATAATGTGATTGACTGTTTCCTCCTCCAGGCTACATAGCCTGCAGGTGAAGGTCTCACTTACACCTAAATTAAAGAGGTGCTTATTTAGTTGACAGTAAACAGTGTACAGTCTGGTCACATACCTAATCATGCTCCTGTCCATCACAAAAAGTGATTTACTTCTCTTGTGACTGGGCCCTACTAGGAACAACTTAGAATGAATTTGTTTCCTAGTCTATTCCCAATGTAGCCTAGAATGAATTTGTTTCCTAGTCTGTTCCCAATGTAGCCTAAATTTGTTACTCACAATTGCCTTAATATGCCTTTTGGCAAAGCCAAGACTTATCCCTCAGATGTGCTCTGGTGCTACAGGTACTTGTGCAGAGCCTTTCCCAGCAAGGCTCTGCACCCATTCTATCCTTATCTTGTTGGCACTACAGAGAAGGTTTAGATTGCCCTAATATTCATCTACCAACTTGGAGCGAGTTGCATAACTATTCAGGGCCTCAATTGCCGCTTGACTATCCGTATATATTGTTATCAATCTAGTCATAATGCCTTCCCTTATAAGTGATTGAGCACAGAAATTGATAGCTAGAATCTCGGCTTGAAAGAGGGATGTATACCTATTTAGAGATGAATATTCCCTCATTAGGTTTATCCTATAGGTTAGCGTATAGGCTTACCACTAATCTTTTCAATATGACGTAGCCTGTTTAACTTAGTATTTAGAGTAATCCCAAGATGTTTTATTTCACTGCTGATAGTTAATGATGACTCATTTGATGATGGTGGTCTAATATTGATATTCCATCTGTTATAGAAGATATATAGATTTATCTTCTGCAGATTTATGCCAATGTCATTGTCCTGGCACCATTCTTTCAGAAGTCTCATAGTGTTTTCGTGCAATCCAGAGATTGTATCTGGAAGTTTACCCCTATTAGTACAGCGATATCATCATTGTATCGCTGCGAATAAAATCCCGCCTCATTCAATTTAACAATCAGAGAGTCGATGAACAGACATCACCCAACAATGGATACCCTCCAACAGGTTTAACCCATAGTACAGATTGTCTCAGTTCAGATTTAAGGACTCTCCCCCTCAAAACCGAATTTATCCATTCTGAAGTCAAGAGTCTGACCCCTCTACTTTCCAATGCTCTAGCCATTGTGTTATAGGAGTATGATCAAAGGCACCTTCAATGACAACAAAGGTACACGCCATAATCTCTTTCTGCGATAAGTCTTTCTCAATTCTAGAGATCAAGTGATGCAACAGTGTCTCACAGGATTTGCTGGCTCGATAGAAAAATTGGGCACAGTGTAGCGTTCTTTCTATTAGCATCGAGTCCCTAATGTGTCTATTCATGATCTTTTCCAGCATTTTCAACAGAAAAGAAGTCAGACATACAGGTCTATATGCTTAGGGATTGTCAGGCTTAGGTATCTAGCAAACTCTAGCTTCCCTCCTTGTGCTGTAGCACTTATTAGGGGTATACGCAAGTGCTAAACTACCCCTAAATAACTCCAGAAGATAATGTTTAATCATAGGTAGGCCGTTTTGTGAATGGGCCGTGAAAATCCCATCAGTACCTGCTGATTTGAACGGTGCAAAAGAACTAATGCTCATTCAACTCTCCAAGAATTACCAATTCTTTTGGCTTCAACCCACTTGTCTTTGCCACAGGTTTAATTGTACCTAGTGAGATTAACATATGCTCATCTAGCATTAGGCAACCAGGAAAATGAACATGCGCCAAAGCCTCCTGAGAATCTTCTCCAGAATAGATGTTACCTCCTTCAATTCTTACCGTGCCAATGGCCAATCCATCCGTTTGCTTTCATAAGATTTTATGGACTCTGGACGTGGATAACGTGTCATTTATATCACTGCAGGAGTTTCTCCATCCCCCCCTTTTTGTTCTGTGTATGGCCTTATTATATTCAGTGAGGGCACACTTATAGGTATTCCATTTGCCCATACTTCTGGCAGCATTAAAGAGTTTTCTAGTTGAGGCTCTTATCTTGCCAATTTCATATTTTCACCAAGAAACATTCCCGTTGGACCTATTGTAACTGACACAGTTATTGTCAGTGTAAGACCTCATAATTGCCTCAGATAATGAGGAGTTGAGGCATTCCAAATGTCAAGAATTCCTAATAATCTTAGAACAGCATTTGACTTCTTCCTCAAGCTGCCTACAGTTTCAGTCACATTATATCCAGACAAATCAAATCTGATGTAACAGTGATCAGAGCATGATTCTTCATCAGATACATACCATCGCCTTATCCTAGAACTCAAGAAACGTGTGCCTTATGTCTATTATTTCCTAGCAGATTCTATTAACAAAGTTGCCAACATTGTCTCTATTTAAAATCTCAATTTCAAAGCTACTTAAATACTCTAAAAGAGACTCACCTCTCCGGTTGTTATTGGAGCTTCCCCAAATCTTGTGATGAGCATTGGCATCCAGTGCTGCTATCACTGCTTTCCTCTTCATCCTTTCCGCCAAGCTTCTTAGAGCTGCTATGGAGATGTCCTCTTCATAAGATAAATACGCTGCTGCCACCATTATCCTCTCCCCATCCTTACCCTCAGAAAGGGCTAATTGAGGTGATGCCAGGTCCTTGAAACAATGATGCCACAGAGGCATTAGCTTAATTCTATTCTTGAACAGGATACAGGTTCTCAAACATTCAGGCACTGCAATAATAATATACCCAACGATGTCCAGCCCCCTAATCCTGTTCTTGAATAGGTATGGCTCTTGAATCAATACGATATCAATGTCCTTACTTCTAACATACAGCTGAAGCACACCACAAGCTGCCACAACTTAATCATCATTAAGAGGAGCTAGCTACACGAGGACCACCCTCCACTGGGTATATTTCTACCCTCAAGATGTTTGATACTGGCTTCGGGGAAGCCTTAGTTGGGACCCTTCTATTTTGGATCCAAAGACTCCTTAGAAGTAGCTCCTCTGGAATTTTCTCATCAGGGAATTATGCCTCTTTTTCTCCTTTCTTCAACACTACCAGCACGGTGTTAAATAAGCTCTCCAGTACACAATGAATCCAGTCTTTGGTGGCTTGATGATCACAGACAATAATACAATCCCCCAGATGGGGGATAAAGCCACTAAACAGAGCTGATCACCTGGGCTTTCACCTCCTCATTCTGCTCCTTGGTAAGCTGAGCGGATGGATGGATATCCACAGGGAATAATTGCCACCTAACTGCCCCCAGTCGCTAGAGCATAGGAAATTGCACCAGCCTCCCCGCTTCTGAGAGCGCTGACGTCGAGTTCTCTGGCGAGCATCTGGTGCACTTCGTGACTGGCCCGGGACCCTTACTAACCGTTTCCTTTCCAGTTGGAGCTACTGTAGCCAGTAGCTCGGTCCCGAACTTCGCCTCAAGCCTCTTCATCCCCTCTCCCTCTTTCTTCTCTGTGCACCAGAGAACTTGGGTCTTGGTGGGACATCAGTTCCACCTGCCAGACCCTTAACCTTCTCTGTTATTACAGAGAGCTTAGAAACTTGGGCTTTGATAGTCTCAGTCGAGCTTCATGAATTATTCTCTAGTGGTTCCATTGATGGCCCCTCCGAGTATCTACTAACCACTTCCTTTTCCAACAGTTCCATTTTCATTAACAGTTCCGTGTAATTATTTGTGTTGTCTGTCGGTTTTTTTTTTGTGGAGATTGTATTGTGTTCCCATGAGTATGGGAGTGAAAAAAGTCACTGCAGGTACTACCCTCTCTTCCTGCAGAAGGCAATTAATTGTCCCAAGTGGGTTGAATTGACAGTGTATGTTTATTTAAGACACCCCCTCCACCTAGCTTGGGTGTCGTAGAAGGATCCACACAGCTGCCTTCTAAATGAGAAGGCAGAAGTGTGGATCCCCGCCTCTATCATTCGTGAGTCCCATCAGACTCTCCGGGTAGCACCACTAGGAGGTGACAGTAAACATTGATAGGGATAGGGAGGACTGGAAAAAGAGTTTTAGAATAGAATAGTAAATAAACTTTATTATGGGACAAGGTCCCTTAAGTATAACAATAATGAATAAAAAAATAAAAACCACATCTGGCCAAAAATTACATTAATCAAAATTAAAGAATATATATAATATATTCAGTGAAAGTATATTAAAACAAATAAAAAAGGACATCTTTTTGAAAAAAAAACAAAAACATTATTTAAATAAAAAGAAAAACAAATATCAGGTAAAATAAAAAACAAATGTTATCAGCACTATGGCTGGATTTTTAAAATTAAAACTGAAACAATTTCAACAACCATTCACCTCTGTCACCTGGGGGAAAATAAGAGAGGATACAAGGAGATTACGGATAAGTTGTGGGAGTAGGTGGCGGGATCAATGAAATAACTTAGGGATACCTATTGACTTTGGGGATATGAGGGCGATATGGGGTTTCCAGGAGAGGTTTTCGTCAATAGTGATTCCTAGATTTTTAATGGAGGAGTTGAATGTGATGCGATGATCGTTGATGACTAAAGGAGGAAGGAAGGAGATTGATTTAAGAAGAGATCTGGAACCTATAATAATGGCCTGAGTTTTCATCGCGTTTAGCTTTAAATTATTTAGACTTGCCCAAGCACTGATCCTATCGAGGTCTGCCTGAATGCGACTAATAGCACAAAAGGGTGAAAGGATAAATAAATAGATTTGAGAGTCATCAGCGTATAAATGGTTTGAACAGTGGTAGATGGATTTCGGAAGATCATTTATATAGGAATTAAAAAGGAGTGGGGAAATGCTCAAATCCTGGGCCACTCTAGAGGACAGCCTAAGGAAGGAAGTTGGGGAAGAGGGTGGTATCCCCGTTTTCAAAACCAACCAAGTTATAGGCTCAATGATAGAAATCTATATGATGTGAGAAATGTAACAAAAAATATCAGAAACATACCCAGTCAGCCTCATGATGTAGCTCAACCTAGCTATGGAGAACCCCTCATTCATCCAAATGATATAACACCACCGAAACAAGGTCCAAGTAATATCCAACCATGAAGTGAAAGTGCTCTTTTTAATAGTGAAGATTATTTTTTAAATAACTTATTTATTTAAAATAATATATATATTATAATAAGATAGTATATTTTTAGAAGAGAACCAACCACCAAAACAAATCTTTTGTTCCATCTCCTCCCTGAGATTTTCTCTTTTGTGAAAACTACAGAGCAGTTATTTTCATTTCCCTGAATGAGTAGAACTAGATTAGCTTGCCTTTTAATTGTTCAATATTAATTTATTAAATCCTTTTTACTCACTTCCAATAAAGGTGTACATTACAATATGTATTGGATATGTTACTATTTTTTTTTTTTTATCTTTCATTAAATTATAATGGTTTTTTTTTTCAGGTTTTATAGGTAAAGGAATGACGAGGCAGTTGAATAAAACATGGAACTACATCGGTAAAGGTCTTTTTGGGACCCTTGCCATTATTTTAATTTTTCCACCGTTGTGCCTTCTGACTGTTGTTCTCTCTCTGGCCATAGCTGCTACAGCATTTATATGGTATATAGTTATTTTTAAGTACTTATTTTACATATATAAATGGACTTAAACTTTTTTAGATAAAGAGCAGATAAATAAAACTTAAGCACTGACCTTTTTTGGGCGTTCTAAGCTAAACTGGAGCAAAAACATTGAAAGCATTTACTTGAGGATTCTACAAACCTTTTTTTGTCCTCCCGTTCCTCTCCTTTTATGTAATAAATAGATAGACAGAAAAACAACATTATTCTGGGACAAAGACCGTTTAGAATTACAAAATTGTACAAAAAGGAAAGATTACTTCTGGCCTAAAAGTTTAAAAAAATAAATAAAATTAAACTAAAAAGTCAACTTAAAAAGGAAAACCTTAAGTAAACAAGCTATATACAAAATAGATAAAACTATGTACAAAACACTTAAAACTATGATCAAAACACTTAAAATTATGAACTAAACATTTAAAACTATATATAATGGTAGAACAGCATAAATATACACTTTAATAAGAAATGAAGAACGAAAAAGAGACAAAATGAAATAAGTTCTTTTCATAAAAAAACTCTTAAGTTTTATTTAGAAAAGTGAAAGTTGCATCTATCAATATAAACCTCATCATAATCCTATTCCTCTTTACCGCCTATGCAGTGTGAAATTGCTTCTTGTATAGCTTGGACCAGGTGGACCTTCCACTGGTCTCCTGTTCCATTCCAAAACTTGCTTCTGGAATGCATCTCGCACGCTCTCTTTCCAGGAGATTATGGGTCTTCCTCTTGGTCTCCTACCCTGCACGCGAGTCTCATATGTTTTCTGTGCGACTCTGTTCCGGTCCATACGGAAAAGGTGCCCAAACCATCTCAACTTGTGTTCATCTATTATGGTTTCGACCGCTTTGGCGTCGAGATTGGCCCGGATTGTAGTATTGCGAATTCTGTCTCGTCTAGTCTTTTCCTCCACCTTTCGCAGGTATCACATCTCTAGGGCCTGGATTTGGCTTCTGTGTTTTGAAATAAGTGTCCAGGACTCAGAGGAATACGTCAGTATAGGAAGGATCTGATCTGTAGACCGTCATCTTTGTTTCCCTGATCACCTCTTTTCGGTTCAGAAAGCCTTTCCTAACCGAACCGAACATTCTTCCAGCAGCTCCTATTCTCTGCCTTACCTCCTCGTCAATATATCCATTTTCGTTGAGTTGAGCACCCAAGTATTTGAAACTTTCCACCTGCTCTAAAATCTCACCGTCGACCCTCAATACCCTCATAACCCTGTGAGGTTTTCTTCCAATGCGCATGCATTTTGTCTTCTCAGGGTTAATTTCCATATTGATTTCTCTTAAATCTTCCTTTAGGATATTAATGTTGTTCTGGAGGTCATGATCATTCTGGGCCAATATGACAAGGTCATCCGCAAACGCCAGCAGAGAGTATAGAGTAGGCTGCATATCTCTGTGACCCAACTGAAAACTTCACATCTTCTGTTTTGCTTTTCCCAGCACCAGATCGAGAACCAGTAGGAAAAGAAGTGGGCTCAGGCTACAACCCTGTCGTATGCCCAGTGTTGTTTTGAACTCTTGAGAGGTGTGGTTTCTTGTTCTAACAAGATTCCTCGTATTTCCGTATAAACTGCTTACGGCCCTTATTTGTCCATTATTCACACCTTTTTCAACTAGAGCCTCAATTATATCCTTTTTCCTAACCCGGTCAAAGGCTTTGCAGAGATCTACAAAGCACACAGAGAGTTCCTTTTCCCTCTCAACAATCTTCTCTGTGATTTGTCGCATAGTGAAAACTAGATCTTGTATGCTTCTTTGACTCCTGAATCCATACTGCTACTCTCCAATCTTAGATTCTACGGTACTTCTGACCCTTGTCTCTAGGATTTTTGAGTATATTTTACTGGGAACACTAAGGAGCGAAATACCTCGATGATTGTTGCAATCCCTGTTGTCTCCCTTCTTATATATTGGCACAATGACTGCGACTTCCCACTCCTTCGGGATCTTCTTCTGTTTCCAGACCAGATTCACAAGATGGAGAAACATTTCCTGGCCTTTACTTCCCATAAACCTCATCATTTCCGGAGTGATTCCGTCCAGTCCCACCAATTTGCCAAGTTTCATCTTGGCGATGGATTCCAGCAATTCTTCTTCATCAATGTAATTGTCCTCTTCTGAGGAATGCTCCTCTACAACCTGGATCTCGTTTAGGTTCCAATCTGTTCCTTCCAGCAGCTCTTTAAAATACTCTCTCCACCTCTCCATTATCTCATCATTCCGCCAGACAATGCTCCTCTCTCTGCTCCTAATTCCTTTCAATGTGGTGAGTCTCTCCTTGCACATTTCTTTGATTGCTTTGAAGAATAGTTTTTGATTTTCTTTTGCGTTTTCTTCAAGTTTGTGCCCCAGATCTGCCCACGATTTCTTCTTGGCTAGAAGTACTTTGCTTTTTGTTTCCTTTCTCTTTTCCCTGTACTTTTGGTGAGCAATGGGTGTTCTTTGGCTCATGAAGTCTTTCCAAGCTGCTTTCTTCTCCTTTACAGCTCTCTTTACATCCTCTGTCCACCAAGCAGTTCGCTTGAAATTTGACCCAATGCTCTTCTGACCACAGATGAGTCTCGCGGCATCAAGGATATTTCTAAATACTGTCCAGCTAATTATAGAATGCTCAATATAAACCTAATTATATAAATACTGGATAAAATTTAAATATACCATTAGAAGAGTGCTATCATCAGTTATAGAAGGTACGTGTGGGCGTTTAATTGTATATTAAAAAAAGTTAGTGATAAGTAAATGGCGTCGAAAGTAGGAAATACATGTAGTATCCCTAACAAAGAACAGTATTATCATATGATTGCTATGCAATACATGTATAATGTCAATAGTTATTAGGTGTCTGACTGTTTTTGGAACAGGAATTGGAATAGAAGATTTTTGAATATGGATACGGAGGGGCATGCAGAATTTTGATTGAGAGGGAATTCTAGAAGTTGACAGAGCTGGCTACAAAGGAGTTTTGAAATGAGGCAGACCTATGAGAAGGGATGTATAGGTCAGAAGGTCGAGATCTTGTGGTGACGGAATGGATTGAAGACTAGAACTGGAGAAGGTTGTAGACATAAGAAGGACTATGATCGTTAATGATTTGATAAAGTAATGTGCCTAGGAAATATTGTATTCTTAAGGAGGGGAAGAGCCAACATAACTCAGTGTAGTGGTGGGAGACACTGGAACGTCTCGGGATCCCAATAAAAAATCTTACAAAGCTATTCATAAGTCTTATCACGGAGCTCCACCGAGAGGCCTTCGTACACCACACAGTTGTAAACAAAGTGGGGAAAGATAAGGGAGGAAACTAGGAGTGTACGGGTATTTTAAAATATGGGAGAAGGAACGGATACCAGAAACATGGAACACAGGATTGATCTGTCCTGTCCTTAAGAAGGGCTCCATGTATGAATGTGGCAATTACAGAGGCATAGCACTTCTTCCAGTCGCCTCTAAAATAATGACTAATATCTGTTAAATATATCCGTATTATGAAAACAAAATAGGCGACCATCAAACAGGATTCAGGAGAGGTAGGAGTACACTAGATCAGATATTCATTCTGAAACAAGTACTTGAACAACGATGGGAAGTAGATCAGGACGTACACGCATTATTTGTCGACAGGACTGTGTACAAATGATCCTAAATGCAGGGTACTAATACAAGGAGACGTATCTGAAGTTCGAACAGGTTTGAGGCAGGGAGATGGACTCTCGCCGATGCTGTTCAACTTAGCACTAGAGGAAGTAATAAGAATAACATCACGCGAAGATGGAGGGGTGCACATTGGAATGAAACATAAAATCCTAGCATATGCCGATGATATAGCTGTCCTCAGAAGTAATCAAGAGGATATTGAGAGACTCGCTCGGACTCTATTAAAAGAAGCAGAGCAAATCGGACCACAGGTCAATGTAGATAAAACAAAATACATGGTAGTTAGCCGAAACTTCCACCCTAATGACATCATCTGCGTGGATTCTAATTCATTCCAGAAAGTAGACAGATTCAAATACCTCGGCTCCACAATAACCTCAATAAATGATCAACTAACAGAGATAGACCAGCGAATAACAAGTGCGAATTTTCTTCTCTCTTTCAAAGGTACTGAAATCCAGAAAAATCTCCAGAAATCTCAAAATGAGGGTGTACCTGAAGCCAGTTCTGCTGTACGGTTCTGAAACCTGGGTTCTAACCGGCACATTAGAAGCCAGAATTTAGAGATGTGAAAGAAAAGTTCTACGTAGGATAACAGGACCTATATGGGACCAGAACCTTGACACATAGAGGAGAAGGAACAATAAAGAACTGTTGAAAGAAACGGATCAGTCAATATCTCATGACATGAAGGCAAGGGGGTTAAGATGGGAAGGGCATGTACCGACAATGAATGCCTGAGTAGTATGCAAGAGACCACGTGGGAGGCCAAAAACCAGATGGATAGATAGGATAAACAAAGATACGGCTGAGCTTCATGCAGCAAACTGGAAAGCAGTAGCCCAAGATAGGCAGAGGTGGAGAAGGCTAGTTTAGGCGGCCAAAGATCTACAAGGTCTGCAGAGCCAACCAAAAAAAAAAAAATATATATATATATATATAAAACCTGTACCGCTACAACCCATGAAGGGTCTTGGGTTCAGTACGATGTGAGGAAGTACTGTTTCAAGGCCAACGGTTGTGCAGGGAGGTGATGGGACTGATATCACGCTCAACCGCCAGGTTTTTCCTCTTAATTATTTTTTATAATTAAGAGTACCCAACTTTATAGAGGCTGGGTGTGGCCCAGGAGGGTCCACGACTAATGAAAAATTACTAGTCATTAGCCGGATTCGAACCCAGGACCATGAGCTCTGGAAGTCAGTACTCGCCCACTGAGATACTCCACTCCCTATATATATATATATATATATATATATATATATATATATATATATATATATATATATATTATTATTATTAATATTAATAGTTTATTGTTAGTAAACAGAGGTATTGATAAACAGTAGAGAAGAGTACAAAACTTACCTAAAACATTAGAATGAAATACAAATCTCTTTCCACAGTTCTGATAGTTAAGTTAACTTATTGTATACCATATGATTTATGTGCAGATGTTTTTCCATTTAACAATGTAACCCTATATTATATTACCAAACATTTTATTTTTATTATTATTTATATGGTATTTACAACTGTATAAAAAAAAATACATCTAGTAAATTTGTGCATGTATATAATGACATGAAACACATGTTGAGAAACTACCCATTGGTAGGACTCTAATAAAATGTCTATATTAGGAGATCGTGGTTATCAGGAATGGAATAGGAAGCAAGGTTAGAAACAAGAGGGTTTGGATGGTTATGAAGTTTATTATGGAAGGATAGATATCTGGGTTGGGCCAAATCTGATACATAAGGAACATTAAGGTCATTGTGGATGATTTTATTTGTAACAAAGTAAGGAGTATTGAGGATTTTAGATTGTAAGGATTGGACACGTGAGGAATTTAAAGTGTTTAGTGGAGCCCCATAGCTCAACTCCGTAAGACCAACTAGGCCTTATTAGAATCATGTATATAAGTCTTTTGTAATTAATTGGAAGGTTAGAGCATTTGTCTTGTAAGTGTTATAGTAGTCGGAAACGTCAAACAGTTTCTTGTCATTTCAGTCTGGTATGAGAATTCCAAGTTAGACGTTTAGACGTTTGTTCAGGTAGAATCCTTGGTAACGGATTTGTTCAACAGGAATAAATGAGGTGTTGTTAAAGGATACTGAAGGACAGGAAGTCATTGGTTTACGACGTATTACCAAACTAAATTATGAATGTAATTTATAATTTACACCTCCATTCGTTGAAGACTCTTTTTCTACAAGAAAAGAGTATAAAATTAATTTAGAGCTATGGAAGAACACCTTCCTTTAAAAGACTTGAGTTATGATCTAATTTTACAGTAAAAGCTTTATCTATGAGATAATGTTGCCAATAAATTGCTTTATTTATTGCTAGCCATTGCAAATACATTATCACTTTCTTCATTTGAACAGGTGCCAATTTCTTAGAAAAATAATCAACTAGATGTAGAATATCATCTGCTTGTGGCTGCTTCAGAACTGTACCTAGACCTAAACGGCTTGCATCACCTTTGATAACTGTATCACTGTCATTGTTATAAATTGCTAAGGCTGGTACTGAACATAGATATCTTTTTATCTCTTGAAAACAAGATTCACATTCATCCGACCATTTAAATTTGTTATTATATTTTAATAGGTTATGTAATGGAGATAATCGCTCAGTACAATGATCTAGGAATTTTTGGTAAACGTTGATCTTCTTCGTGTCATGGGGCGGTGAAATTCTGTGTCTTCCTTCAGTTTAATGTGAGCGTTGGCAACTCGAACTATACCCATATCAAACTTTTTAGTGGCTGAACACCTACCGTATTCACCTAACAACTTCATCATATCTCTCTTTCTATTCTCATCCAAATGCTCTGAATTCATTTTGAAGGAATCCTTATCACTTTTGTATGTCTTCAATGCTTATTTTTCCTCCCTGGTTTCAATCTTCAATGTACCTTGGTCAATAGTCACGTTATTCACTTCAATTATTTTTTCCTTTGTTTTCTGTCTAATTTGTAAATTTTCATCTTGTATAAGTTTAAAATTCTTTATTGCATCTAATCCAAGCAATAAATCATGATTGAAATTACTGTTTTTAACAACAAATAGATTCATTGTAACCTCTACTCCTACTATTTTTAAACATAGTCTAACCCTGTTCTTCCAAATGACAAAGAAATCATATGTTACTTTATCGATAAATATAATCGACAAAGAAAACAAAAATTAATTTAAATCTTCATTTTTGTTTGGAACCAACATGTTCACAAATTTCAGTAAGCTGTTACTATTTTGCCCACCTGAAGGAGAAACCTTCGAAATTGGTGGCTCAATCTTGAGATTTGGTGAAAAATTAAGGATGATATGGCTTGCCGATCAAAAACACTATCGATAAATAATATAAACTCCTCCTCTCTCGATCATAGAGACCTCAAGTCGACGAAATGAGACATGTATTCAATGACAGTACTACAATTAACGTAAGATTGTGTGGATGCGAATCCTATGCCTTGCGTTATTTCGAAAATAGTACGTTTTTGGGCTTAAAAACGCAGGATCCGATAGTTCTGGAGGAACTATCCGGGTCTTGCTATAGGCATCAAAATCTTCAAGATCCAATTTGTCCCGTTCCGATCTACAGATCTACAACCATTCCAGTATTGAAGCCTAGCAAAATGTTTGTATCGCCTTTATTTATTTTAGAAAGAAAAACAAAAGTGGAGAATATGATTCGCTAACCCCCCCTTGAAATTCTGAATCCAACGGTACCCCATTCATGGTATTTGAGCATGACAGGAGCTTATATTTGGTACAAAACTGATTTCGAGCCTTACTGTAATAATATTGTGGCGATATATATTATATTAAAATATAGAACTGAAAGATTGTCTAGAAAAGATTTGTAATCTTATATATACAGGGTGTCTTAGTTCTTAATGGTCCAAACGCTGGGAGATGATTCGAGATGGAAATTTAGACAAAATTTCCAACAAAAAATATCAATTGATGTATGGACTGATTTTAAACGGAAAATGGGTTAAGTCAAATTTTGTCTTTTTTTAAGATGGTCACATTTTCTCTTTCATAGGAAGCAATAACAAAAAGTATTTAGTTCAGAAAATCAATATTCCATACAAAAGCAGCTTTCATTAGCAACTGAAAGTAATAGCTTATTATAGTAATTTAACTTTTAAAATTTTTATTCACACATACATAAATATTAGGATTTATCCATTAAGAACTGAGAAATACTCTGTATGTGTATATATATGTGTGTGTGTGTGTGTGTGTGTGTGTGTGTGTGTGTGTGTGTGCGTGCGTGCGTGCGTGCGTGCGTGCGTGTGTGTGTGTATGTAATATTACTCAATATATATTTATTGATATATTTTTATTTTCAAACAGGATGCCTTCTGTTACCTTGGGTTTGCAGATAGCGCTTGGTCTTATTTGGGATGTTGATAGTCCAGATAGTGAAAGAATCAGGTATTTTAACAATTTTTGTAATATTATTATGAATAAAAATTGTAATATGCCTTTTTAAAGCTATCTAGGCTAAAAGCAAATATTTATAGTTATTAAAATAATGATAAAAAAAAAACCAGCATACCTTGTATTATTATACTTAATATAATAAAAGTGTTACATTTTTTAATTTATTAAAATTAATTTTTTATACTTTGATGCCATTCAAATATGTTATTATTTTTATTGATTATTTATTCTTTTATACACCATTTAACATAACTAATTTTTTACTTTCACTTATTTATTTATCTATTGTATAGAAAGGAAAAGTATTGCGATCATGAAAATTTTCGAATCCGAGTTTTCAACCGAAATATCCGAGTTTTGAGGTCCCCTGGGTCCAAATAACCAAGTCCGCAAATTGATCTGTTTGAGTGTACAGCCTAGATCAAAAACTTAAAGTCGCATGAAACTAATATTACCTATTTATGGTCATTATATGTCTGTGATGTTACAGCAACTTTTTCATTAAAACCGGTTTGTGCTGCTGGCTAACCGGAAGTACCTCTTTATATAATCAATTTTTCACATTTTTATAATTTTCCTGAAAATAGCTCCAATTATTTTTATTAAACTCATTATATCAATACATTGTAAAGTGATTTTTAGTTTAAGGTAGAACTTTTTTACTGGCTAGCAAATGGAGTATAAAAGATATCTTTATCCCTCCACAAAATTAACCAAGAAAAGTATATAATTTTTCAAATTGCAATAAATAATGGTTACCCCACAGAAATCATTAAAAAAGTATTTAGTAAAAATTTGAATACTCAATTTAATTTACAACACTCTATAATGTATTAATATTAATGATTTAAGAACAATTACATACACTATATATATATATATATATATATATATATATAAAGTATATAGGTACTGATACTTATATAATTAATAGTATTTTTAAAAGAGACAGAAAAATTGTGACCCTTGAACCTTTTACATGTTTAAAAAGCATGGTCCCAGGACTAAAGATCAAGTCAACCCTTTAAATAAGACGAGGATCTACTTGATAGAATATTCGTGTTCTGCCGTTTAAATCGGGCAGAAGGGAAGAAAATTGTAAAGCCGAGTTAAAGAACACCTCCCTGGATGCATGCATCACACGTTGAAGATTATTTTGTAAATTGTTCACACCCACAAAAAAGTTATGAGGCAAAACTTTTACATACCATTTCAAAAGGTAAAATAATGGCTATTTTGGAATAATTAGAGATTAAGAAATGACTACTATAAAAAATTATGTTCTATGCCTGAATGTGCAAAGTACTCAATTTAAGGATTTTGTCCTCAAAAAACTAGTGGCAGCTAATGAGAACAAGATGTGAGCGTCTACGTTTCAGTAATGGCGAACCCTCTCATCTGAGATATATAGTCAGTATGCTTGAGATTGCAGCTGTGTTTTTTTCTTGATTTAACTTAAATTAAATTTAAATGGAAAGTTTGATGTTTTCCCTAAACAGTTATTGTTAATTTTATTATTTTATATTATACAACCTGAGGAAGGTCTGATCAAAGACCGAAATTGGTTGCGCAGAGGGAGGAAAATAATAAAGTATTATATAGGAAGACATCTTTTTTATTTAATTTATAATTTCAATCCTGTAACATCAAGCCTCAATTAAAGAATTAACTGTATATTTTTTTAAATGTTTTGGACAAAGCTCAGAATTTTGACTAAAGATCCACTTTTTATTTTTTTATAAGATTTTAAACATAATTCTATTTTGCCAGGATTCATTCTTACTTCTTATTAATTTAAAAAAATGTATTTATCTAGTAGCAAGAAAGCAATTATTTTTAATATTCTTCCATTTCCTTTAAGCTATATTTTCTTGAATCATTATTATGAAGACGGCCACAATGTTGTTTTGTATTAATTATTAATACAAATTAAAGCTAATTAATTATTTCAAATGAGTACGTTATATCTTCTATATGATGTAGAAATGGTTGAGCTTTGATATAGTATGATATAACAAATTAACTCCTTCTCATATATCTTCTATAGTTTTTACTTCCCAACATATGAGAACAAGTGTTTCTATTCAAGAAGGGGGTGGTAAGTGAAAGTTATGTGATGCATGCAATCTACCAGATTTTTTAAGATAGGTTGCTTTTTCATCAAAATTGGCTAACCAGAAGTGCCACTTTACATCATCAATTTTACAAATTTTTATGATTTTCTCAAAAATGGTTCTAACAATTTTGATTAAATTCATTATTTTGGTGTAAAATTAAACAGTTTTTAATGCAAAGTAGGTCTTATTCTCATTGATGTTCTCTGACAGGACTTAAATGCCTAATTTCCAGAATTTCTTTCTCTAAAGTACTTTAAATTTTTTTTATTTGAAATAATTAACCATTTCCGATTGTAATCAACTATGGAAAATGGTTAAATATAAAATATGAAATAATTTTATAATTAACTAAAGGAATAAATAGTTATAATAATACGGAATGAGCGATTGTAATACAGAAATCAACAAACCCTTGAACAAACTTAAATTTAGATTTTTGTATGCAAATCCTATTTGTTTTTCCTTCGACCCTGCACAGGAATCGCATCTCCATGGCCTGAATGTGACTGATGTGTTTTGTGATGAGGTTCCATGGCTTGCTGGAGTAGGTCATTATCGGGAGGAAAGTATTTTTGTACACAGTCATTTTGGTCTCTTTACTCACTTTTCTCTTGTTCAAGAATCCTTTCTTGATGGTGTTGAAGCACCTTCCTGCAGACTTCACTCTTTCCTTTATTTCTCCGTCGATCCATCCATGTTCATTGATGTGGGCACTGAGGTATTTAAAATTGTTCACTTGTTCCAATGGAACTCCATTGTAGTACACTATTCTGTCTCCTCTTCCTTGTTTTCTGCCAATCCTCATAGCAGAGGTTGAATTGCAGGTTTTGTCCATTGCTTCCAAAAACCACTAAATCGTCTGCGTAAGCGAACAGAGAGAAAAATATTTCTTTTTTTTTCTTTTGCTATTTTTATTGCATTGTCTAATACTAGTGTAAATAGCAGAGGACTTAGACTGCACCCTTACCTAATACTTTGATTAGCTGTGAACTCTTCTGATATATTATTACATGTTCTCACAATATTTCTTTGAGTCTTATAGAGACTAAGAATTGCCTTACGAAGGCCCGTTTCGATGTCTTAGTGAGGTCTACAAAACAAGCATATATCACTTTGTCCCTCTCTATTAATTTCTCAGAAATTTGTCTCAAAGTAAATATGAGATCCTGGTACTTCTATTTGGCCTAAATCCATATTGTTCTTCACTAAGAGAGGATGCCACTGTTCTTCGTAGGTGTTTCTCTAAAATCTTTGAGTATATTTTACTCGGGGGGACACTAAGAAGAGATATCCCCCAGTGGTTTTTACATTCTCTGTTGTCTCCTTTCTTAAATATTGGGGCTATAACAGATACTTCCCAATCCTTTGGAATGTTCTTTGTTTTCCACACGAGGTTTATAATGTGCTGGAATACTTCTATTCCCTTTTGGTTTATATACTTGATCTTTCTGGGGCAATCCTATCTATTCCTGCTGCTATTCCTGTTTTCAGTGAGACTATAGCATCCACAATTTCTTCTTCATTGATAAAATCTTCTTCCAACTCTATCGCGTTCGACCGAACCAGCTTCTTGGTTTTCCCCTTCAGTATTTTCGTCCAAAAGTTCCTTGAAGTATTCAGCCCATCTCTACATGATTCCTTCCTTGCTTGTTAGGATATTTCCTTCCTTATCCTTAATTCGCTTGAGAACAGGTTCTTTCTCTAAGCATGTTTCGAAGCATTCTGTAGAAAAGCTTCTGATTGTCTCAGAAATCACCTTCCATCCTTCTTCCAAAATCTTCCCACATTTTTCTTTTGGCTTCTATGACCTTGTTTTTAACTTTTTGTCTTTGTGTTACATATTTTCTGTAATCATTATGGGAATTCGATTTTAGATATTGCTTCCAATACATCTTCTTCCTGTTAACTTCCTTTTTGACCTCTTCATTCCACCAGGTGGTTCTCTTTAGTCTTTGCCCGCTATTTATTTTTCCACAAGTTATTTCTGCAGAGTCCATCACAAGGTTCTTGAAAGCGGACCAAACTGTTTCGGCATTGTCCGAGTCCCAGGGGTATATTCCATTAAGAACCTTTTATTCTATCACGTTCTGATTGGCAGTTACTATTTCTTCGTTTTTCAATTTGTAGGCATTTATCTTTTGTTCTTTTTGATACCTTTTATTTTATTTCCTAAGAAAAACTTTATTCAGACTGATGTCCATCCTCAGGAGCCTGTGATCGCTGCCAATTCTGCGCCTCTCTTGACCCTGACGTCTATTGTATTTTTTATTTCTTCCCTTGGTATGAGAAAGTAATCTATTGTTGATTTTTAGTTTTGCCCTGGTTCCACTCTTGTATATTGGTGTATTCTTTTACGTGGAAATATGCTATTTGCTACGATCATTCCGTTTGCTAGACATAGGTTCAAGATTCGTTCTCCTGAGTTGTTGCGATGTTGTTCACCATTTCTTCTTAAGGTTTCCTGCCATACTTTGTCGTCATTGCCAACCTTGCCATTTAAGTCTCCCATAATAATAGTGTGAGGTAATGCATAAAAAGTAAGAGATTGTTTGTATCCATTTTTCTTTTTTCTATCTACAAGATTGTGTATATTTTAGACGTATTTCATTTCTTACATTCTTGAATTTGTATACATATATATCTTTCTATTGCTTTTTCTTTCTATACATGCAATTCTTTTTTCTTTTTCCTTTTCTTTTTGTTATTTTTCCAGTAAAATTATAAATATAGAATAGAATAGAAAATTAAACTTTATTCTGGGACTAAGTCCCTTTAGAATAACAATGATGAATTAATACAAAGTAAAATACAAATCTGGCCAAAAACTAACTTATAAAAATTTTAATATTATATACATTATTTTAAAAGTACGTA